ATAAGCTTCAGATGGAGTAATTTGTGCATTTTGCTTCTCTGAGCCGTGACAATCTGACTATATGTTACACATAGTACTTGTGGGTAAGAACTTCTCGAACAAATGCAGTCTGCAGTCACAAGCGCCAAATTAGTCTTGAGCGTTGTGCGATTCAATTTGTTTCTCCGGATCTTTGGTATTGTATTCTGGGTCAGAATTTCACTAAACGCGAGGTGTCGACTCAGTGACTGTTCATGTCTAATGTGTGAATGGTTATATACCTATATCCTGCTGTTATGTATGAAGGATGTAGAACTACATTTATGAATGTGTTAACGATTTTATAGATCATTTTAATATTCCAGAATCTATATAAATAAAAATGTAAATGTTCGTTTGTTCAGGATCCTAAATCTCCGAAAGTTCTTCACCGATTGCTTCGAAATTTTGACGCAACGTTGCGTTCGATTACGCGCGTTTTTATATACCTATTATATAGATGTCACACCTGTGACCGGTAAAAACATGCTTCTTTTGAAAAACAGAATTAGAATTTGGAATTCAGAAGAGTCACCCCTATGGAAACGCTAGAACAGACCGTTGCATAGGAAGTAACAATAGCGATACTGTATCGAATGTCCACGGTTACGACGAATACACGGAGCGTTCCCACAGAGACAACGCAATAACAATGGGTCGTTGCGTAGGAATCGCGGAATCAACAAAGCAGCGTTTCCGCGGTTATGACAAAGGCTCATTTGCATAGCAGCGGCCGAGGGTATAAAAGGGGGTTGAATTCATTCGCCCAGTCAGTCTTGGAATAGCTGCCGCTGAAGAAGGTTGGAACCTAGACGCCAAGAGATACAGAAGTATTGGCCGAGAGATTGTGTAACAAGTAACTCTAATACTGCAAGTGGCGATAATTGTAAAGTGTGCAAGTGAATTACAATAAAGATTCGCTATAATTAATATGGCGTAAAGTTATTTGTAGGGTGACATACCCGAACACGCTACATGCATTACTGACGCGTGCAACACGTCACATCCACATCAAATTCGTGCATTGTTTGCAATCATATTGAGCGCCTGCTCTCCTTCATCTCCAACAGAGTTATGGGAGAAATATAAATCGAACATGGCTGAAGATATTTTCCGTCGAATACGCAAGGAAAATTCCAATATGAACATGGATTTCACAGCAGTAATCTGCAACGAAGCGTTGATAATGATTGCAGATTTGTGTTTAGAAATCGCGAACAAAGTTCTCAATCAATTGGGAATGCCATCACCGAATCGATCTGCTGCTGCTTCGTTCAATGTAGAATTGCATCGTGAACAAAATTACAACACGGGTGATCTTTTGTCGTGTGTGCAATCAAATATTCCTAAGCTAACGCTTGAGCAAAAAGGCATTTACGATCAAATAATGCAAACTGTCGATAAGGGGGTTGCAGAAATCTTCTTCTTAGATGCGTCAGGAGGAACTTGTAAAACGTTCCTAATTAGATTGATTCTGGCAGCAATTGGGAACGGAAAGGTGCCCGTTGATCTGACCTCAGGACGAATTTCATTGCCTCATTACTTCTGCAATTTAGTGACGTCAAAAGGAGAATTGTTTGAAAAAGTATTTCCCAATATTCAAACCAATTATAAGAATCACGATTGGCTGAGTGAACGAGCTATTCTTGCGGACAAGAACAAAGACGTCTACGAACTTAACAATATCATTCAGTCTAACATTCAATGCGAGGCAGTCACATACAAGTCCGTCGACACTGTTGTGAAGCAGATGAAGCGGTTAATTATCCAACAGAATTTTTTAATTCACTCGATCTGCCAGGGATGCCACCGCGCGTACTGCAATTGAAAATAGGCGTGCTAATTATCATGTTGCGAAATATGAACCAGCCAAAGCCTTGCAACTGCACGCAGCTTGCAGTAAAAATTTATTGAGCAACATCGTAGAAGCAAGAATCTTGACAGGACCTTTCAAAGGTGAAGATGTCCTCATTACTCGCATTCGTATGATTCCAACGGATGTGCCATTTTAATTTAAGAGATTGCAATTCCCAATTCGATTGTCGTTTGCAATCACCATCAACAAAGCTCAGGGCCAATCTTTAGAATTGTGCGGTTTAGATCTAGACACGGATTGCTTCTCACATGGACAATTATATGTTGCGTGTTCTAGAGTCTGCAAACCAAGTAATCTCTATATCTGCACAGATAATGTAACAACAAAATATATTGTATACCCACAACCATTGTGGAATTAAACATATTAGAAACGTGCACTTTCTCTTTTCTTTCTTTTCCATTTAACCAGACTGAGCCACAGCAACGCGTGGCCGGTTCAGCTAGTATGAAAGAAAAATACCAACACCAACATCTCTACATACACTACAGATAACAGAAGAAATTACATTGAAATATCAGTAAAGAAACACAACCTCTAACAAAATACTCATAAATGGATCAAAATGACAACACAAAAGGTAGAATCAAAGCAAATAGCCAACCAACAAAGGTTGTCAGCACAAATAGCAATTTACCCAGGCAGAAATACTGGCAATAAATCTGGTACTTATGACAGCGAAAATAGAAACCAAGAAAAGAATCAATAACATTATTTTTGCAGAATCAAAATCGAGCGACCATACACAAATTACAATCAATTGAAATACAGATTCCTGTGAACTGGTACATGATAGGTAGAAAACATATTCTGTGCCAACTAAGAAACGAAGTACCAGCAGTGGTACAGATTCCCAGAAATTCCATAATAACCAGTAACGAAAATTTCGACCTGCTAACAAAAGAAGCCACAAATGTACAAAATATCCCACAACACAACCCACACCATGGGTCAATGCATTACAACTAACTTCATGGAGCTACAAAACTGGTCTGGGACTGCCATCAATCCCTCATACAACTGGCCAGACATAATAGTTTTCAACTGATATGGGTGCAAATTAATGAGAGTATTGTTGATAATGAAATGGCAGATCAGCTGGCAAGAGCAGGATCTGAACATCCATTCATAGGGCCTGAACCAGCTTGCGGCATCTCAATTGGAGTTGCCAAGAAAGTGGTCAGGGACTGAACAAACATAAATAACAAAAAAACATTGGGAATCCATAATTGGACTCAAACAAATGGACTTATACTAGGGCCCTCTGCCAGAAGAACGAAGGATCTGTTAAAATTAAACAGAGACCAATTAAGATGGGTGGTATGACTATTTGCAGGACACTGTCATCTAAAAGGACACCGTTTCAAACGGGAGGCTGACAGATGACCCCACTTGTGAACGGTGCCTCGAAAAAGATTAATCAGCAACACAGCCTATGTGATTGGGAGGCTATAGCTTATTTTTGAATTAGCCACTTGGGCCAGTTTTCTATGGAGCCAAGTGACACATCATCCTACACGTCATTCAAAGTGTAGGATTTATAAAGGGCTAATCAAAAAATGGGAAGCAAGCTAAGCCCTTCTTGAGAAGCTTCTAATTATGCAAGCTATTCAAGAACTTCCCAGCATTTATGGAACCTGAAGGTTCATTAGTGTGCTCACAACAGCTCTCCACTGGTCCATATCTTGATCTGCCTTTCCCACCAATATCCTATGTGCACTCATCTTTGCCCCCATTCATGCTACATGCCCTGACCATCTCATCCTCCTTGAGTTCATCATTCTAATTATACTTGATGAAGAGTAAAAGTTATGAAGCTCCTCATTATTCAGCTTTCTCCAATCTCCCATCACTTCATCTCTCTTTGATCCAAATATTCTCTTCATCCTGTTCTCAAACACCCTCAGGGCATGTTCTTCCTTTATTGTCAGAGACAAAGTTTCAGAACCATACAGACCGCAGGCAAAATTACAGTTTCGTATAATCTAATTTTTATGTTTTTAAACAGCAGACAAGAAGACAAAGGTTTCTTGACTGAATGGTAGCAACCTTTACCCAAATTCAACCTCCTTTTAATTTCTTCCTGAATTGAATTTTGATTTGTTACTGCCATTCCCAAATATTTGAACTGTGCCACATTTTTTAAGGATCTTCATGTCGTGATTTTGCCCAACATTCTGGTGATGAGATAGCAACATACAGTTTTCGTTGCATTTATTTCTAGATCAACCTCCTTACTAGCAACAGTTGAAGTTTCTGTCATTTTCTTTATGGTATCTATGTTAGCAACCAGTAGAGTCACATCATCAGTACTGACCAGCAGCTGATGTGTCCCATTTCAGTCCAACCTGGTTTTCCTGGACCTTCCTAATGGCATATTCTACAGCAAAGTTGAAAAGCAGTGATGATAAAGAATTTCCTTGTTTTAGGCCATTATGGATGTGAATTAACAAACAAATATTTACCTATACATACATTCCTATGTTTCATTTAAGGACATTTTAATCGGCCTAAGTAATTCCATGGGTACCCCAAACTCTCCGAGAATACTGTACAATACTTCCCTCTTAACTGATTCATGGGCCTTCTTTTAAGTCTACAAATCGCTGAAGTACTGTCTCATTGTACTCTCATTTTTCCTCCAGTAAAAAAAAGAAAAAAAGGTTGATTTGTTACATTGACAACCACACTAATGAACGAACACAGTATACTACAAAACAAAATCGTGCAACAATGACAAAGTGAATAGATAAACATATAAGGGTCCCACAGACGATCCGTCTTAGCGTCTGTTTTGCCCACGCAGTTCTGACTTGAAGTAAGACAGGAGAGCACAGATATTGTTTTGTTCTCAGTGGATCTTTACATTTACTCCGACATGCGCCTTCATGGCGTAGTGCTGAATAAGTTAAGCATAGGGACACCTTTACCTTTTTACGTATTGTAATTAGACAATTAGCATTCTCGGTGGCTATATCCTCAACACCACACGAATGACGAGCATGGTGAGCACGACGGGCACCATACCCACAGACAGCCACTGTGGGAAACCTTGTTGAGATCACAGATGAACTCAGACGTTTCCACGGTTTCGTATATGAATTGTGCTTGTTTCAGCTCGAAGGAAGTTTTGTGCTTATAAATTGGCGTTGAGGGATATACATGCGTGTATTGTTTATGTTTCAAAACTTTCAACAGTAAATTATTTCTTCTTGTGTATTATGAACAAATAAATTTAACTCTAGCATGAAAGTGACACCCAAATAACACAGGTGGTAATGTTAAAAAATAAACTATATCCTCACTTCCGGAGGTGTATGAAAGCGAAGAACCATAACCTAACAAGAAGAGATATCTTTACCTCGCAAGAGAATATGGCAAAAAGTAAATACGAATATGTAAAAAATTTTGAGCTTCCAGATCCATGTTTACCAAACTGTTGGATTGTGGTTAGGATTGACGGACGAGGGTTTAGTAGGTTTGCAGACGTTCATGGTTATGTGAAGCCAAATGATGTTCGTGGACTTAACTTGATGACCCGAGCGGCTACATGTGTAATGGACGAGTTCCGAGACATTTGCCTTGCATTTGGGCAGAGTGACGAATATAGTTTCGTCATCCGAAAAGATACAAACCTCTTCAATCGTCGAGCATCGAAACTGATGACTAATGTGAATAGTTTGTTTGCATCAAGTTTCGTGTTTCATTGGGTAGGATTTTTTGGGCCTATTCGGCTGCAGTATCCACCGGCGTTTGATGCCAGAGTCGTGATGTACCCAACAGACAAGAATCTGAGAGACTATTTGGGTTGGCGTCAGGCTGATGTTCATGTCAACAATTTATATAACACAGCATTTTGGGGCCTGGTTTTAAAGAAAGGATTTTCAAATGCCCAGGTACAAGAGTTTTTCCAAGCAACATATATTCCTTGTAGGTACGAATATATATCCTACTTTTTGCTGAGTCAATTACAAGTGACAAATGTACAATGCAAATTTATATGGGGAAGTTTTGCAGATCAGGGTGTGAAACTTATGAGAGGTTTGATGATTATGGGTATTCAGAGTGATTCATGTGTGTGTCATTATGTACTATAAGAGTGTCTGTAACTTGAGAAGTAAACGTGAATCTAATTTCTGATGTTTAGGTTATCAAACTACGTGCTGTTTACACTTCAAATTAGGTTGTGTAATATGAAACCTGGTAGGAGACAGCCGAAAGCAAGATCTGTAGATCCATTGCTTTGTTTCTACACTTCATTTTCTGTGGAGATTTTGTACATGTGTAGGTTGTAACCAGGGCTTGGGGTGGGGCGGGATGGCATCCCAGTTCTTTTCTAAATGGCTTAAAAGCATCCCATTACTTCTTTGGCAGTAAATGCAGTGTACAATACCCAGGGCTTGAGGTGGGGTGGGATGCGGCGGGATGGCATCCCGGTTCTATTTTCATTCCACCTCAAGCACTGGTTGTAACCCTACCCATTACTACACTGCAGCATGGTATATGTTAATTCCCTGTGTCATGGAGTGTAGATTTCCACCAGTAATTTCTTACTGAAGATGCTAAGTCAGAAATAGCACACCATGCTAAATTGCACCTCATATCAGTGCAAAAAAAAAAAGTGTCAGCTTTATTTTGAACAAATGGCCTCTGCTGGTGTGGCCTGCCCCATAAACCACAGTAAGTTGAACCCAGCCATTCTTGATACAAGATAATGCTTTGGTGTGTTGTTAGGGGTGGTTTAAGACACTGTTTCTCAACCTTTGTGGGACTGCAACCCAGTAAATTCTTTTTTTACTAGACGAGGGCCTGGCAGCTGAGAAACACTGTTTTAAGAGGTGCTTTAACTTCTGGGTTCATAATTCATGTTTGGATGTGATTGAAGAGCTAGCAAAACATTTAAGTAAAATAATGTCAGTAAATTTTTGTGTCTTCTAATATTATACTTCATAAGGTGAACCGCAGAAATTGATGCCTCTACCACATTGATAGACTTGCCAAGATAAGGGAGAACGGCCATACAACCACTGAAAAACTTTTATGTGTAGTCCTATACCCTCTTGAAATAAGACACTTCATGATATCAGACTCCATGTCAATCTTACAAACAGCATTTTGTAGGATTTGAGGTTCTGACAATGTTGGTTAAGAAGATAGCACTCTGTAGTTAGTAGGTTGCATAATGCCACTTGAATTGAATTGAATTGAATTTATTTACATTCTATAAATCCTAAGTAGGTTAGTACCTTTGGATACAGAACAAGTCAAAAGGTTACATACATAAGTACAGGCAATTTTAGCTTAAAAATTAATATAACTTAATTTTACATCATTCTCTATTTACATTGAAGTATTCAGCTAAAGAGTAGAAGGAATGAGCATGTAGATAATTCTTTAACTCTGATTTAAACTTTTTAGTATCATTGCCCAAGTTTTTAATACTTTGTGGCAGATTGTTGAACACTTTTATGCCAGTAAAGTAGACTCCTTTTTGATATACTGATAAAGTTGATGAGGGTAGGTGGAAGTTATATTTTTGTCTAGTATTCATGTTATAGACATCAGAATTTAATTTGAATTTATCTTTGTTGTAAACAACAAATAAGAGAAGCGATAATATGTATTGCGATTGAAGAGGTAGAATTTTTAATTTCTTAAATAATTCTCTACATGAATCTCTACTTCTACATCCTGTAATGATTCTAATTATATTCTTTTGTATTTTAAAAATTATTACACTATGTGAAGAGTTCCCCCAAAATATTAATCCATAGTTCATAATAGAATGAAAGTAGGCATGGTAAACCATCTTCAATGTTTCCTGTGACATAAAAGGCTTAATTGATCTCATCGCATAGCAAGCTGCATTTAATTTAGGTATAATTTGTTCAATATGTATTTTCCAAGACAGTGTACTGTCTACATGTATTCCAAGGAATTTTGTATCAAGTACTTTACAGATTAATTTGTTGGCATAACTGATGTCCAGATCAATTTGGTGGTTGTTTTTAGTTGTGAATGATATGTAATGGGTTTTATCAAAATTTAATGAGAGTAAATTGGCTTCGAACCATCTGTTTAAGGCTTCAAATACAATATTTATGTCATTTTTAAAGTTTTCAAATTTAGAGTTCTTAAATATTATACTAGTGTCATCTGCATATAGAATTGGTTTAGATTTATTGTTGATGGTTTTAGATAGATCATTTATGTAGAGAAGAAAAAGTAAGGGACCTAAAATTGATCCTTGTGGAACACCGTGCTTTATAATTCCCCAGTTTGAAAATGCATTATGACTGGAGTTTTTATTATTTATTTCAACTCTTTGATACCTGTTTTTGAGGTATGATTTGATCCATTCATTAGCTTTGCCAGTTATTCCATAGAAATTTAATTTCGATAGTAAGATATCATGATTAACACAATCGAAAGCTTTTGCTAGATCACAGAAAATCCCTCCCACAATTAATCTGTCATTGAGAGCACTTAAAATATCGTTAGTTAGTTCATAGGTTGCTTTTTCTGTTGTTAGGTCTTTCCTAAATCCAAATTGCTCTTTGACTAATATGTTGTTAGAATTTAAGTGTTCAAGTAGTCTATTATACATAACTTTTTCAAAGACTTTTGAGAATGAAGTCAATATGGATATTGGTCTGTAATTAGAGATGCATTTTCTCTCTCCTTTTTTAAAAAGTGGTTTCATTACAGCGTATTTTAAGCGTTGAGGAAAAGTACCTGATGATAAAGATTTATTACATAGATGATTCAAGGGTGAACTGATGTAAACAGAGCTTGCTTTAAGTAATTTGGTAGAGATTTCATCATATCCATGTGAATTTTTGGGCTTAAGGGATTTAATAATGTTTTCAATTTCCTTCCTTGTTGAGAATTTGAGATTGATATTTGGAAATGAATTGTTAAAGGCACGAGACAGATAGTATATTGGATTATTATTATTATTATTATTATTATTATTATTATTATTGGAATATGTTTTCTCAGCTAATGAAAGGAAATATTCATTAAATGCACTTGCGATAGCTTGTGGATTGTTAGTGGACTTCCCTTCAATATTCAAACTTTGTACGTCTTCATTAACAGATTTCTTTCCTGATTCAACTTTCACAATATCCCAGGTGGTTTTAATTTTATTGTTTGATTTTAGAATTTGGCTGTTATAGTTATTCTGTTTGGCTTCTTTAATGACTTTTGACAAAATTTTACAGTACATTTTGTAGTGACTTTTTAGTCTTGGATCATTACTGTCCCTACTGGCCAAATATAGTTGTCTTTTGTGTTTACATGAAGTTTTTATTCCAATTGTTATCCAGGTGGATTTGTTTTTATTTTCATTTTTGACTATTTTTAAGGGAAAGCTTGAATAAAAGATCCTCAAGTATGTGTTCAGAAAGCAATTAAATTTAGAATCAATATTATTGCTGTCAAATACATTGTCCCATGATTCATTACTTAGTTTTGTGACAAAATCTGCCATCGTATGCTCGTTGATTTTCCTTACTGTTTGATATTGTTGATTACTGGGCTGAAGGTCAATATTATTTATTTCTATGAGTTGAGCATCATGATCTGATAAGCCATTTATAAAGGGTCCTACAGTATAGTCTCTTAATTTTGAGTTATCAATGAATATATTATCTGCATCAACTGCATCACATTGTGAAATTATTAACAATCAAATAACATGAAAGGGTTATTATGAGCAGTGAAATGGAAAGAATAGGGAATTAAATTGCCATGATCTGGTTCAAGTTAATTTCCTAACATCTTGTGGACAGAGGCTGAAGACAACACAAACTCCATTTGGGATACACAGCCTCCAAAATACAAGTACAGTAGTTGTGGTCTACTGTATGATAATATCCTAACATACATGGACAGAACTGAGGAAAACCACAGAGAATTTCAGGCAGGATAGATAGCATTCTTTCCAAATACAAAAGATCATGGTTTATTTCAGGGCAGTTTCATAACATGTGGACAGTGACTGTGGAAAGCCACAATTCATGCCTCCCAACTGCAATTGGTCATGGTCTATGTTATATCCTTAACAGATATGCACAGCAGTTTATTAATAGCACAGAAAACTTTAGTCAAGTTAAACATCATATATCCAAACTGAAAGTCGGATCCTTAGCTAATCTGCTTGTTACTGATAAATGGCTCACAGGTGTGTGCTGGGGAATATATCAAAACAACTGAATCTATAACAGTGGTGGTCAGCCTTTATCATTCACAGGGCTACATTGCCAGGTTGTTTAATCTGTGGGTCATATAATGTATACAATATTAATAACGGCTAAATATTTACTATTATTAGTAGGAACACGGGAAGTGCAGGCAGGTCATATGACAATACTTTAAAATTGGTTTACTTGACACCCACTCCATACTGTCATGGGTTCAAATGGGAAAATTTAGCAGACAAAATTATTTGCCATTTACAAGAAAACAATTAGAATAATGGTAGGTGTTAAAGAGAGTCTCCCCTGCAGAAAATTATTTCAGAAATTTAATATACTTCCACTCGGGAGTACATATTTTTTGTAGGACTTGAGGTTCTCACAGCAGTGGTTATGAAGAGTTCTGTCTTCTGGGATATAATGCCATGTTGTCCATTGAAAGTCGGCCAGTGTTTGAGGACCATGTTGCCTCTATCTGACCCTGAAGATGGAGGTGACATGTTCCTCTGGAACATTGGTTGACGTTCAATGGACAGCACAGCATTATATCACAGAGGTATACATATTTTGCTTACTGTTTGTGGTGGAAAACCTAAAAAAAATTCAAAGAAATACAGATGTACCCAATTCAAAGATGACCTATATAACAAAACATACGACCTTCGTATACCTAATGCTAAGCTCATCACTCCTACATTGTGGATGATTTTATTTGTATTGAAACATTTTAAACTTTATGCATATCTGTATATGAAGTAAGGTTTCTTTGTGCTTGTATTATTACTGTTCTACATCCTTCAGTTTCCCAAAGAAGGATCTGTGGTATGCAGATAGAGGCTTCCAGATGAGGAAATGTTGTTACGCATGCATTCCTTATACTGCTGTAAAATGTTCACACATATTTAGTTCCCTGTTGGAAATTTGGTAAATTACACACTTGAAATCTTGATCTCTTCTGTAAGGCATTTAAGATGTTTCTGAGAAGAATGTTCAAGCCTAGCACCGATTTCATCCAACTTCTCTTCAGTGAGGACTTGACGATTTCTTTGTTCAGTAAGAACCATCTGTCTAAATGTATTTACTGTTGTATGAATAGTTTCTATATTTGGAACTGTTAAGATTCCAAAATTTGTGGCAGAATCGTTTCCTTACCTTCCACATGGGCATCAGATATGAACAGCTGTCAGAATGTCTAGTATGTGACTCATGCGGTGCTTTGACACAAGCAGTAATGAAACTGATTAGTAATTATTCAGAGATTTGTTTGTGTGATATTGGAGAAATTTTAATCATGAATTTAACCATGAATCTGACGTACAATGTGAGATGACAGGAATAGACTGTTGCCATCTCACCTGAGTGGCCCAAGAATTTTCACGAGGCTGTCAAAAGACCTCCCCATACTTTAACAGAGAAAACCAAAGTGATGTTTTCAAATACTTTATAAACAAAAAACCTTATTAGAAACATTCAATACTGATGTACTGATGTAAATGAAGTATTAGGTTTATTTGTAATGAAAATGACTATTTTGACCACTGAACCTAAACTTTGGGTACCAAGCATTTTAAGTCAGATACAGTGCTTGTGGTCAGTTGAACGGCTAATGAAATTTTTATCTATCACTGTGTAACTTTATATAGCTTTATCAATGAGAAAGCTTGTTCACAAATATGTGTTTCTCAACAGCTGTGTTCTAATGCAGATTCAGGTATGTGTCTGGGGAAGACATTTATCAAAGTTAAGAAAATTTCCCTTGAATTTAGGCCAGAGTTCATCACTGCAATATGTATCAGTTTCAGCTGTAAAGTAGGTTCACCATCTTCATATGACACCTCAAAAGTTAGCAAATGTTCTGTCCTGATCAAAACCCACAGACCTGCCAACATACCAAATACTCTGTGTGTTTTGTATAATCATAATATTTTCTGGAAGTTTGTAAAATGGCACAGTCTTATTATTCATAAGCTGTGAATGAAACAATAACTTCATTTGGAAGGCTCATACACTGTTTAGATTCCCCTTACAGCTTACTATTTAGGGCACTCAGGTGCTCATAAATATTTGTCAGGAAGGCCAGATCACATACCCAACTTGCATCTGTGCCTGGTTGTCCTTCAATAAGGAAAACTTTTGATTTCTTCTAGTAGTAACAGAAAACACTGCAGAACCTTGCCTTTGCCAAGCCAACAAACTCCAGAGGAGCACACAATTCACTCCTAATTTTATCACAAAATGACTCAAACTGTCCATGCTTTAGTCCATGTGACCCGATAGGGTTAGCTGCACTGATGACAGTGGTCATAATTTCTTTAAATCCTAGAGCTTTACCAATTAGGTTCTGTTGATGGCCTATGCAGTTATAGTATATTAATTCACTATGGAGATCTAATTCATGCACATGCTTGTAAAGAGGAGACACCATACTATTTGACAACCATATTAGGCATGTTATCAGTAACTGTGCACACATGCCTCATAATTTCAGATTGTCCTTCTGAAGACTAATATTAATGCCTGAATGAAATCCCATCCCTTTTTCTGACCCAGCATTGAATTAAAATCCATAAGTTCTTCGATCACTTCAAACTTGGATGGTATGCCACATGCAAATATATGTGCTTGGGCAACTGAGGTGATGTCTGTCACTGACTCAACAGCTAATACTGAACATCATTTTTTAATATCTAGAAATTTGAGTTTCAACCTCTTTTGAAAGAAAGCTCTGCCTTTGTAATATCAGCTACCCTTCTTGTGCAGTTTGTGCAACAGTGCTTCTGTGATGCAACAAGTGAATAGTTTTGTACAAAGTCCCTTTAGTAGAAGTTCTTGACAACTTCACAAGTGGCATATGTCAAAACTGTCTTCAGTGGCCAGATCTCAAGAATTGTATCACTTCTCAAAAATATTTTGTTGAACTTTCAGTGCCTGAACTATAGAAGCTTCTTTTCTTTTCTCTGAATTGTCCAGAATACTTCTGGTTGAAATCTGAATGTTTAGTTTCAAAATGTTCTCTCTTTTGGTATGCTTAAACTTCATTTACATACCACACCTCATGCAACCCTTATTCTCAACAAAACATTACTTCTGTGTCCAGTCCTCTCAAAATACTGTTTCCTACTCCTACATTTTGCTTCTTTGTTTTACTTTAGTCATGGATTTTATTTATGAAAAGTACTGAACATACACTTTAATAATTACCATGTCACAGCTCAGCATGTATAAAGCACTTCCCTTGAATGTTTTGAATGAACAGAACTCGATACAAAGAAGCCTCATTCATGAGATCATTGAGCAAAATAACAGCTTAATTTGAAACTGCAAAAAGAGCCAATTGTTACAACTGAAATGTTCCTTTGGCTGACAACACAAACACAAATACATACCTCAACAAAAAATACTATTGCAGAGTGGTCCATTTTATTTGTAGGACTGGTAGCCAGAACTCTGGCAAACCCAAGGATGGTCCTTCTCCATGTCAGCAAAGGCTCAATAAAACAATTTAATATTTCCCTGCTGTGGTCCCAAAGCAGCAATTGCTAAGTGATGGGGCGGGTAAAATATATCAAGTGATTACCACAGTGCTGTTATGTTAGAGAGGGTTCTTTAGACCAAAACAGTCTCACAAAAATCCACCTAAGAACATCTGAATAGAGATATACTGAGAATTTACATACTTTCCTATAGTGCCAACATCTAAATTGAGCAGCAGTGAAATGTAAATTAAACTTTGTTTTGTGATGTACCATACATTTTTGATTGTGTATAAAGAACAGTGCTGGGCTGAGGAATATTTAGTATCAGCCACTAGCCATCTGTATCAGTGTTTCTGAATCAATGGGATGTGCCCCATTGCTGGGACTTGACGGATGTGCTGGATGCGAAGTCCGAAAATAACATATCCCATTAATGATTAATATAATGTTAAGATTTTCATAAATATAAAAATGCACTTCTTTGAAATCGTTTGTTTTTACTGTTGTTTTTTGACAGTGTAAGAGATGGGATAAGATGTAACAGGCTAGTTCACATAATCGTTATCTGTTAAGTACTCATAGCATTCACTTATGCTGTTGCTGTGATTTTTCAGGCAGAAGAAAGACTGCGTGGAACACTGGCATCAGACAAAAATGAACTCCTATTTTCAGAGTTTGGATTGAACTACAACAACGAACCACCAATGTTCCGCAAAGGAACAGTCCTCATTAGGAAACTGTGCAAAACACCTGGAGATGGGAAACTTCGTCATGTTGTGCTTCCATTTTATACAGATCTGATTGGTGATGTGTTCTGGAGAGAGAACCCTGAGATTTTAGGTATGAAGTCTTTACAGATCTACCATCGGCCTACTGAAGACAATAGCATTAGCCAAGAGCAGTGCAAATCCTCACCCAAACAAGACAGTACTGGATCAACAGCATCAGCCACAACAACCAATGAACATAGCCCAGTGGCTTCTGAGAAGTCTTAACTGATCCTGATGGAACTACTGAGCTTTAAAACACCTAGAATTAAATGAGTCATACCACGCATGAGTAACAGTGTGATGAACTCTTTGAAACAGTCTTACATGACTTTGAACTGTATTCTGTCAGCTAAGATAAAAGTTAAGACTCCAATCATGCTTGCCCCAGTTATCAATTTTCAGGTGTCCCATGACTGACAAGAGTTTGACTTGGTCTTTATCCTTCACCATAGAATGCTTTGCAGGATCATCAATGACTTAGGACAAACCAGTAATATTGTGTATACAGTATACAATGTATACGGAAAATTCCTTTGTTGGAAGCTCTTACACGTAATTTTTGAATTCGTATGGATTAATAAGAAGTGTTTGTTATGTTTTGTATACTTAAGATACAAACTACAAGAAGTACCCTCACATATACGTAGGTCGTACCGAAAGTCATGAGCAACTTTTTTTTTTGCATGAAACCTGGGAACAGCAGACGAAAGAGAGTACGGTGGTAGGTGGAACCAGCTGTTGTGTTAACCTTGAATGTCTTGTGACCAGTATCACTCCTAACAAAATGGCTGACAATGATATGTCATTTCGCACAGCGTGCTGTCATCGAATTTCTTGTGAAAGAGGAAATCCCTGCTGCAGAAATTCACTAGAGACTTCAGTGTGCTTATGGAAGTGTGTGCAAGGGTGCGAGCAGTGTTCAAAGATGGGAAACACCAGCATCAAAGATGAGCCTTGGAGCGGTCATCCTTGAACAGCCTCAACTGAACGCAACAAGGAAAGAGTGGATGAGATCATTCAAGATGACAGGCGTGTGACTATGGACACAATAGCCCAAAAACTTGGAATAGGGCACAGTGCAGTACAGGAGATGATTGAAAGCTTGGGCTATAGGAAAGTTTGTGCTTGTTGGGTCCTGCGGTTATTGACCGAAGACCACAAAGGTCAGCGAAAAGCCATCATCTCAGAACTTCTGCAGAGATATCGACATGAAGGCAGTGCTTTTTTGCTCTGTATTGTGACAGGTGACGAAAGCTGGTTTCACCATCTTGAGCCTGAAACGAAACGGCAGAGTATGGAATGACACCATTTGCATTCTCCATCAAAAAAGAAGGCAAAGACAGTGCCATCAGCTGCGAAGGTGATGGGCACAGTCTTCTGGGATGCAGAGGGGTTTATTCTGGCTAAATTCCTGGAACCTGGGCAAACCATCAATGCTACTCGTTATGTCCAGACACTGCACAAGCTGTCGTGCATTGCACAATAAACGTCCGGGACGAAACATGGTCATCTTGCATGACAACGCTTGCCTCACATTGGAAGCAACTGCAAAGATGAGGTGGGAAGTTCTTCCACACTCCTCCTATGGCCCTGATCTGGCACCCTCTGACTACCATCTTTTTGGATTTGTGAAGGATCAGCTGCGTGGACGTTTTGAGATAAGGTAGACAATTCAGAAAGCAGTGCGTCAGTGTCTTCGGATGCCTGGAACGGAATTTTACAGAAGGGGAATTTTCAAACTCCCAGAACGCTGGGAGAAATGTGTACAAAGAAGTGGCAATTATGTGGAAAAATAAAGAAAGGTCTGTAGATTGAGGTGGTGTATTTGGTTTGTCAATAATAAAGCATGTTACTTTACAAAAAATTGTTGCTCATGACTTTCAGTATGACCCTCGTAAATAGAATATATTATAACAAATTTTTGTACAATTTAGTAGCAATGCCTCCCAACTGAATTAAGGCACATTATTGTGTTGGTGTATACAGACTGTTATATACACGAGGGATGTTATACTTATTTTTATGTAAAATTAATCTACATCTAGTAGAGACCCATTTGAATTAAAGATGAGAATATTTTTTGTACTTCATATGTACTCGTAGCTCTACTCTGCAAATAGCCTGGCACGTGCACAAGGTAAACTGTAAAATTTATCAAAATATCTGAAAAATACCGTTCTTGAAATTGGCCATATATCTTCTACTGTGTAATGTACTGAGGTTAAACTGTTCCCACACTGAGTGATTGAGACCAAATCTTATCTTGTAGCACTACTGCACTAAGGGTTAAGCTATGAAAAAATAATGGTGAGGGACAATTGGATAAACAGTGAAAAAATTTGTCAGAAAAACTTGGAAAAAGGAATACTTTTCCCCCCTTGGGGCCCCATATGCAGAGACGGCTCTTATAAAACTGCATCGTGTATTAATTTAATGTAGAGTACATGTATATATATAATCGAAAACTATAACCACAACCTTCAATTTCTTAGATGTCTTGAGAATAACTGCCTACTGACTTGTTCGACATCCTCTGGCAAACAAAAGTCACCAGAATCCAAAGTCAAGGCTAGTACAGTTACAGGCATTCAGCTGTAGTTGTGAAAGGTTTTGTTTAAAAACTGCATTTAAATATAAAGAGCAAACTGTTATGGAAAATTGTGATTAAGTAAATTTTCATTTTATCACTACCTCAATTAGGCTTCATTTAAATGAAGAGTGCAACGGTAAAAAGCAGAGGAGTCACAGTTAAAGGCAATATTTTACCTAGCTGAAGTGAACATGGGTGATACTAGCCATAATCAATTGTATGTAAAAATAAATGCTTTTATGAAAAATATTTCAAGAAACAATGCTACTGCATTCTGCCAGAAAAGGAAATTTCAAGAATTAATTCAACAAAACTACAATTACTGAGTTTACCCAGAGGGCTTACCATGTACCTTTATGAATTTGTTGAAACAAGTGGCACAGTTGCCTTGTAAAATTTTGAAACCCCAAAATTGGCAAAATTCTAAATTTGCAAATGTGATATGTGAAAATCTGTTAACAGTAAAATCCATCCAATATAAAAAATGTCTTATTCACCTTGTTGACATTATACTGATATATCATAGACATTCTACAAACATCAATACAAGATGTTCAATCTATATCTCTATTTCTTTTTACATACAGTATATACAGTATTGTTACACTGAACTTACATGTGAAGTCCCATAATGGACTCAGACTTACATATATATATATACTTCTGAAGAAAATGTACATTGCTGGGTTATATGCAAAGTTAATATGCTAAAATATTTATGTTACAGTTATAATTAATAAAACTGCAGATAAATTTTATTTTTTAAACAGACTAATTTTTATAGATCATGGCATATTTGTAAGGGTAAGGTTCTGGATCCAGCTCATGTTCTTACTAAAGGGCCCAAACATCGTGCACAATATTCCTGTTGGACAAACTGGCAGATAAACACTGTTATTTTTGATACGATGGCTGATACATTTGTTGCATTTTCATGTTCACAGCTAACAGCTTTCTTACATATGGCTCCAACAGCATAGGTTAATCATTCGAGATTATTTCCTAACATCTGCAGTTATTTACAGTATCACTACACACTTCTTTTAACCACTTCATTTTCTTTGTTCAGATTTAACAGTTAATAATTTTAATCTGCTTCAGTGGAATAATGTGTATTTCACATAGGAGATTTTAGAATGCTGTCTGGAATCAAGAATGCAAAACTGACATAGAAGATTTGAAACTTTCACAGTGACACTGTAACAAAGTTCATACTGACACGTCTGTTCATCTGAAAGACTTTGCAGGAATGATGCAACATATTTTGACAAGTACAGAAAATCCAATCATAACACCACTCTAAGGTTTTAAATTATGGAAATTATAGCTCATAACAAGTACAGGGTATGAAAAAACCTTTTGTTGTCTGGGAACAGAAGATTTTTGATCTCCTGGGACTGTGGGACTGGCAGCTGGATTTAACTCAGGTGCAAGAGAATTGGAAAACATACAACTAATGTGTATGCATGGCCAATGATTGTTAAATAAGACTTCATAAAATGTGTGTTCAATATACTTTACCAATGCTCCATAAATTGGTGTCTATCTGCTAAAGTCATATTACACTTCATTATACAATCTTAAAGGGTTCAAAAATCGATTCTACAGAACTTTTGCAATAAAGAACTAAAATGATTTGGAGCCAACTTCAGAACTTCACATCTTATATGTATACTGCATGTCTTGTCTGCCAAAGTACTTGTGTAAAAGTGGAGCATTCTCCAGCTGTTAACTGTGCCATTTGTGCAAACGATGATATAATGGACAGAAAATACCATTTCAATTGAAGTATTGTGGAGATGACATGATTAGATAGTGGGATGCTAAATAATAAATGGCTCTGTTGCCAGCTGTGGAACAGTCACAAATATTATCTAGAGAAACTAACGATTACAATGTAGAAAATGTGGGTGAAACATGGTATACCTAGAAGTCGTCACTCTGTTAAGGACTCCTTCCCATATCTGTATTTCATTTACTTTTTGGAGTTTTTGGGAAATGAGGTGTAGAAGCCTGTATGATGTATGGAATGTGTATCACTTTCCCCAGAGCTTGCACTGTGAAACAGAAACGGGGAAGCGAGACCCAAAACCTTACAACTGCTGAAATTACATGTTTTTCCCATGCACCAAATTTCAGTAATACTGAAAGGAATGTTAACTCACTACTGGACAACACCTACTGTCACATACAAGTAACATTCACAGCTCATAACCATTTCAATCTATCCTATCCTTATTTGCTGCTGGGGATGAAAGGAATGATTAAAGCAAATTTCATACAGTTGCCCACTTCCATGATGGACTGGTCTTATGGTATGGCCTTTCGAATGAAAATGTGCTCAGAAGATGGGAATATAATTGTCAATCTTGGCTCTATGCTTCTGAGCGACACACTCTGAGATCCAGACAATGTTACGACATTCCTGCTCCTTCAGCTTGAGGTATGAGTAGAACACACCAAAATGGAATTGCTGCAGGAAAGCATGAACATTCAGGCGAACCTGCAATCAACAAATGCATTTCAGTGACCATCTCTGGGACTGAACCTGGACCATTGCACTAAGCGATTTAACATCAAAATGTGAGGAATGTGAAACTGAAAGGTAGTAGTGATATATTACTTAAAATTTCTGTTCCAGCATTTGTCTGGCAATACTGAAAAAAAATCACACAAAACATTAATATACCTAATGAACTGGTAAAGATTTGAACCCTGAACTTCATGAATTCAAGTCTACTGACTTAAACCCATGAACATACAGATGGGAAGGTGAATTAAATCATGCCTACAAGAGTTTTCAATCCAACACTGATGTCCTCACTCATTCTTCTCCAGCCAGCTGAAGTGATTTTCATATCTTTGTAATAACCACTTCAAGGCAACGTACTGTCATACCTACATTCCTTGTACAACCTTCGTGCCACAGTGTGATACACATAAATACGAGGGAGTGTCAGTAACTTGTTCACAAATGGAAGTAAAAAAGCTGTAATGGATGTAATAGGTTTTTTTGTGTATCACTAGGTGGTAAAAAGTAAAGTAAAGCTATCCCTGTACCAGGCCGTGAAGGCCCATAGGGTTGTGAGACATTGAGGGTCCCACATTATCTAGACAATCGGCTCAAAGATGGCGGTAAGGTTGTCAGCCCCTCAATTGAGGCACTATGCTACAAGCCGGAAGGTCGTGGGTTCAAGTCCTGATGAGGTCATTGGATTTTTTCAGTTGACCTAATCCTTCCAGCCGCACGGTGGCCCTGGGATCAACTCAGCCTCTAAGAGAAATGAGTACCAAGAATTAATTAAATAATCTTCCTGGGGAGTAAAGCGCGGCTGGTGCGTCAGGCTGACAACTTTACCGCCATCTTTGAGCCGATTGTCTAGATAATGTGGGACCCTCAACATCTCACAACCCTATGGGCCTTCACGGCCTGTTACAGGGATAGCTTTACTCTTCTTTACTTTATTTTTATCACTAGGTGGTAGCACACTCCAGCTTCGTGACAGTCTAGGTAGCAGATGTGCACACATATGTTCAGAGGCTGGTTTCAATAGTCAAAATGTCAGCCATGCCTTTGGAGTGTGCTATTGAACAGCAGCATTCTGTTGCAAGTTTTCTGTGGGCAAAAGGACTCAAGGTGAAGGATATTAATAAAGAAATGTTTCCTATTTATGGTGGGAAGTGTTTGTCGCATAAAGTGGTTTCAAATGGATGGCAAACATTCCAATGATGAAGAGGTTGAAATGGAGGTGCCGAAGTGGCTGAAACAACAGTTAAAAGACTTCTGTGCCACGAGTTTAGATGCACTGGTAAAGTGATGAGACAACTGTATCAATGTTGGTGGAGGACGATATGTTGAGAAATGAATATCGTAAGTAGTCATTAGAATGAGCATTTTCCACAAATCTGATACATTCTTGTTATATGAAGACTGTACTTAACATCTATCTCTGCTGGATGCATTATGTAACGAATTTACAAATGAACAGCTATTGTTAGCTGAATGTCATTAACCTTTTCACCTTTCTCTGTGGAGAGAAGATGAAGGCTGTGACCTTATCAGGTGAGGGGCTCAACACAGCAAATTGTGTTCTGCTCTACGCAAACGTGATGTCAATGTAAATATGAATACATTCATGCAGCAAAGAGTAAAGAGATGGATACCTCTGAGTCTACATCAGTGGTCACATTTTCTGGTATGCTCACCTAAAAGAACTGGAAGCAATTAATGTTCATGCTTACATTCCAATGTTACTGCCAATGTTAGCAACAATTCCTGAGTTTCATTTAACCAATTCGCTTCACAAAGGGGTAACAAAAATAAACAAGAATATCAGCACCATTTTTTTCATTCCCATGCTGGCAAACATTCTTGTAACTCTCTGGCAATAGAATCCAAAGGTTCATCACCAATAATACTAAAACCCACAACTGTAGCTGCTGAATATAATTTCTTTACAACTTCACGTGGCAAAGTCCTTGTAGTAGGCTCTGTGGCACAGTAAAAAAACTTGTAGCACATTCTGTCTTCAGGCAACTGAGAGAAACTACATTTTTAACAGATTTAAATTAAAGGCATCAAGAAAATATAGGAATTACATCCTTGTTCATAACACAGAAGGAAATCAAAGCACACATAAGACTGACAGATGGGCTACATTTTGCTAGAACTGTTCCTGGTGCACACGGTCACCAAACGTTTGAGCCCATCGGCACTTCAGAAATACGAGGGTAAGTCAATAAGTAAGTTACAAATGGATATAAGAGTACTGATTTGAAAAATGCTTTTATTTCTCAACATAATCTCCCTCTACACTGAGGCACTTGTCCCATCGTTTCACAAGCCCCTGAAAACCAGCAGCATAAAATTCTTTGGGCTGCTTTCGGAACCAGGTGTGTTCACACGGCATGGCCTACCTCATAATGCATGACAGGTTAGGTTTTCACAAAGTCTGTGCATGATGGGTGCCGCACATGCTGACCCCACAACACAAAATGCAAAGAATGGGTCTGGCATTACAGCATCTCAGTCACTACCACAATGAAGGACACAATATGCTAGCCCGAATTGTCACAGGTGATGAGTCTTGGGTTCACCATTACCAGCCCGAGACAAATCGTGCGTCAATGCAGGGGAAACATCCTGCGTCGCCTGCCAAAAAAAAAAGTTTAAGGTGACACCATCTTCCAGGAAAGTGATGCTCAGTCTTCTGGAATCATGAAGGCATACTGCTCACCGCATTCCAGCCTCAAGGACAAACCGTAAATGCCGACTCCTACTGTAACATCCTTAGGAAACTTTGTAAGGCCATTCAACGGAAGCATGCAACCTATCATGCATTATGAGGTAGGCCATGCTAAGTGAACATGCCTGGTTCCAACAGCAGCCCAAAGAATTTTATGCTGCTGGTTTTCAGGGGCTTGTGAAACAATGGGACAAGTGTCTTAATGTACAGGGAGATTTATGTTGAGAAATAAAAGCATTTTTCAAATCAGTACTCTTAAGTTCTATATCCATTTGTAACTTACGTATGTATTTGGCCATGCCATAGCTCAAGCAGTTAGTCGCTGGCTTCCCACCGTGGCGGCCTGGGTTCGATCCTGGGTCTGGTCAAGTGGGATTTGTGGTGGACAAAGTGGTGCTGGGGCAGGTTTTCTCCGAGTACTTCGGTTTCCCCTGCCAATCTTCATTCCAACAATTGCTCCACAATCACCCTCACCTATAATCTGGGGCTGGTACAATAGGCCAGAAGCGGCCGCAGTACAAGGGACTTAGTCCCACCCCACTAGTGATAAAAAAAATAATATGTATTTGGTGTCAGCTGATAAAGAAGGCATGGGCACCTAAAGAAGTGACACAGGTTTAACTGATGCTGTGGAGAAGAAATGAGCCAGTTTTGTCCCTGAAAGTATGTTCCTAATGCATATGACATTCACTGGTACAATGAGTGATTATCATCACATGATGAATATCATATTGTAAAATTCAGCATGGATGACAATATAGACGTGAGCGTGCTGCTGCAGTACAGTTCACATGAACTTTCTTCAGTACACTGAAAACAGGAATATAGTTTAACTATGTACATTGGTTAATAATGCCCAGCGATCTGATCGTCGTGTTTTAAGTTCTGAAACATATTTCATTTACTGTCATCTGTTACAAGAAAATTTTTATTGTCTACATACTCAAACATTTATTTTTCACAACCTCAGTGAAAGCCCAACATGTTTAAAATTTGTATCTTCTAACAGAGTTTTCTTCTGGTCTAGAAAATCAAGGTTAACAGCCATGGGAATCTGTTGTGCTGACCATGCGATACTCTTTATCTGCAAAAGTTGGCACTAACTTCACCAACAAGTGGTGGTCACTTGGTCAGTATAGTTCACTTGTGGACTAAAGGTCATGGAGGAGGAACACAGTTCTCTGTGTTGGATAAAAGTTCCAGCCTCTTAAACATAGGCCCTCACTGGCTTTTTTCATTTTTAAAAACGACTGCACGGTGGCTCTAACTACCAGTCTATTTCAGACATGTGTATAAATTTTGGACAGAGACCCCGTACCCTGAGAAAAACTAACACCAAATTTTATTTTCCTAACTTCCTTTGGGAGAGGGCGTTGTCTCATGGTTAGGAAACTAGTAATTAACACAGGGGTGTGCACTTACCTCATGTTCAAAAAATTTGTCCTCCAATGTCTTTTCACCTGGGTTATTTCCAGCTCCTTCAAACAGTGCACTGTATTCCTGTAAATAAAGAGTTCAGTTTCATAGTCATGACTATAGCATGAACCTCGTTATTATAAAAATTTCTAAAGTCATAAAAATACTTACTATAATGAGTATGTGCATTATCCGAGTATTATCAAAATATGTAACTTGAAGTCTGTCTCATAACTTCTAATTGTCATAATATGGCACTGAAGTTTAAACAGATTAATTTGGGTATGGAAACATTTACTCTTTCTTCAAGTTGTTATCAAAGGATATGAAAATAAAGAATAATTCAATATTCTCAGTGCCCTTAGCATTATTTGAACTGAAAAGTTAAAACAGTTTCTCACATTTAACTTAATCTCATATACTTGCAACCAGCCACTTATTCTGACACGCTTACCACACTGAGGACCGGTCGCATGATATCATGATTTTAGGACACGTTAGGTTGTAACACAGTATACCTTGCTTTGGCGCCACCCAAGTTGCACGCAATGGCGTAATAGAACTCTGGAATGTTTGCTTGTCAGTAACTTGACCTTGCTGTTTTCTTAACACACTCTAAATGAAAATGCTTTGCTGCTCTTCGAGCTGTAGGTACCAGCCAGTAGTTAGTGGTGGGGTATGGACAAGGACAAATTTTTCTCCAATGAGCTAGGTGACCTGGCTTGTGAGACGCGTAGTAATGGTGATTCGGAGAGCGGCAGTGACAGGGGAGAACAAAGAATTGTGGCCACAGACAGTAAAAGTGACAGTAGGTCTGATGAAAATGCGGGTAGGACCATTCCGGGGACAGCAAAAAAATCTAAAAAAAATCACAAAAATCTAAACCCTGATTTGAAATTGAAATACAAAGCATTTCTGATGAATGTGGCAAAGGCCTGGGCTACAGACCAGATGGTGGCGGCAGAACCAGAGTCAGACACAGACTTAGTGTGACCGGGCCCATCAACTCCCACCCCACACAGGCCTCATGTGGACACCCCAGGGCGACTCTTGGGTGATATGCGGAAAATACTCTCGTGAAAATTTAGAAGAGTGAACATTCCAAGGGGAAGCATCCTTCTAGGCAATGCTGTGTTTGCACAGTTCACAAAAAAAGTAGTATTTCTACATTTGAAAGTTCTGTGCAATGCCACTTCACAAAGGGGAATGTTTCCAGAAATATCACACCCTCAAGCACTTCTATGAGCATTGGTAAGTGTTCTCCAAAAATTTCAGTTCATAAAATTAATTAGGAGATTTTATATTAATTTTTAAAGTGAACAGTGCACAAGTTAGGATAGTAAGTTTAATAATGGCGGCCCCAGGGTGATTTAAATATTTAAATCGCTGGTCCGCAATGTGTTAACAAGCAAAGATCCTGCCCACAATTTTCTGAACATTCACACAGCATGAAGACGATACAGGTGAATCCACGAAATTCTCTGTGTGACAACAGGATGTAACTGTTCAGATCAAGGAGATGGAAAAATAGCTTATTTGTCCATTTCCAGGTTCGACAACAGATGCTATAACTGTTTGCCACAGTTTGCCCACAGCTCCACCTGAATAATTATTCACACTCCTCGTGCCACGCTGGTGTGGTGGTCCCCAGGTTGCCGACGAATATGATAGGTATTATTCGAAATCACTTTATGATTCGCTACCTTCAACGTCACTCTCAGAATAGTCGGTACTGCAATCTCAATCGAAGTCATTGATGAGCTGAAATATGTCAGAATATTCCAAACGACACTACCACATGTTACGATCGAACTTCGAAATTTTACACTCGACTGAACGCTTCCAGCCACGATGCACGCTGTGTGTCGGTACGGCAACTCATGCATAAAGAATGCTAGCCTTGAACTCTGTAAGAACAGGACACATATTGTTTCAGTAGAGTTCTATATACAACACGTGACTTTATATCATTCGTCCACTGTCCACATTCTAGTAGTAGCCAACGATAAACTCGTAGACTCAACATCCGGTGTTACCGTGACTTGCACAAGTGTCGTCATCAGCAACTAGCATTCAGGGGTATCCAGAACGTATGAATTCTTGCACAGAAACAAGAAACTGGGAAAATTCTTCTTTGGAGTCAGTGCAAAAATTTTAACGTGTTCTATACAATCTGTAAATTACAATATCTGATTCTATATTCTTTAGAGAAAAAAACAGCGTTTATTTCGTTCGTTTATCACAGAAATTGCAGAAATAGGAGCAAATTTAGTAAGTGACTACAGTTTTTACGGATTTCTAATCGCGGGCATTTAAATATATTCCGTAGGGCTGGCTTTACCGGAATTTAAATGCCCGTAGGATAAAGGTTAATTATATCACATGATACTAAGTCTGAGCTATTAATAATATCACTAAATAACCCACAAATAAACAACTTACTGTACTATAATACTGTGGTGAAAATACACTACTGAAAATTTTGTATGACCATGGTTTCAAAATTTGTTGGAAATGAGTACAAAGAAGCCATGCTCTCAATCCATCCCAAGAAGACAAAACCACAAGCCAGTCAAATGATGTGCCTCAAAGCTCAAGCTAATGATCACTCACCTGCCTGCTGCAGAATCATGCCTATGGATCTCAGCCAAGAAAAAGCAAATGACTACCAAGTGCACGGGGGATATTCCAAAAGAAACCTCCGTTTATTTTAGGCAACTAATATAGAAACAGGTTAGAGATCACACATGCAAGGCAGTGTCATATGACTCATTGCTTTGTAAACCATCATATAAATGGTCACCTAGTGATTGTTCTTGTCTCTACAGAGTGAATTATGATGTATTCTGCGACTGATAATTTGCCAGGTGCGAAATTGGTCGTTATCTGCTTTCTTTATGCCAAAAACACGAGCACTGCAGAAATCCATTGTGAAATATGTGTGGTGGTTTAGGGCCAAAATGTAATGAGTGATGGAACTGTAAGACAGTGGCACAGAATGTTCAATGATGGGCAAACAAATGTTCACAGTGAACAGCAAAGTGGTCAGCCATCTGTAGTGAGCGAGTAATCTTGTTCTAAGTGGTGAACAAAATATTTCTGAAAGATGGTGCTTCAAAATTTCAGAGCTCTCATATGAATTTCCACCCATTTCACACACTGTTCTCTATAAGATTATCAGAGTTTGGCTGCACTATCACAAGTTTTCTGCAAGATGGTTTCAAAAAATGATCATGAATGAGCACAAAATGCAGAGAATGATTTCGGCAACTTTCTCAGAGCGACTGCAACAAAGATGGTGATGAATTTATTAGTCACATCGTACGAGCAACAGGTGATGAAACCAAAGAGCAGTCAAAGCAGTGATGTACATGCATTCACCAAATATCCATAGAATTTTAAACAAATGTTGTCTGCCTGCCAGAAAGCTGATTGCAACTGTTTTCTGGGACAGGAAAAGAGTGCTGAAAGTGGAAAGCATGCAACAAGGGGCCACAATAACGTCAGCAGTGTACCGCAAAACATACATCCGGTCACAGTATTTTCCAATAAAGAAAAATGATCCAATCAACTTGTTGTGCATTAAGCTGGCCCAATCACTTTGGTGCCACCTCTCTCCAACTCACATGTGACATGTGGATTTTGACTACCCCAAATCCTGCAGCCGTACCTGTTTACAACTCCGCTGACATGGAACATCGCCTCATTCAAGAACACTTGGCAGAGGAAATTGGGTGATGCATAAATTCTTTCTAGCATGTCCACAGTGAAGCTGTTGCGTGCTACTTGGTCTCTTGGTTTTAGTGCATGAATCATATAGATCTTGTGTGCTCTTAGGCGGAACCTTTTGTGTAGCAGATTGTGCACTGATGAACGTGGAATTTGTTACCGCAAGCTAGCAGCATGAACTGATTTGCATGGACTTCGCTAGAATTCCTCTCTAATGCGATTGACATTTTCTTCAGAGGTCCTTGTCTTTCCAGGAGACATGCCACAGACTACCTGTAGTCCCCAGTTTGTTGTTCCAGAACCAAATGCTTTTCCATATAGGAGGTTGACATCCATATTGTATTCTAAAATGACGCTGAACAGCCATAACAGGTTGCAACTCTGCTAGCCACAACATGCACTGAACCTATTCCTGTGGTGTCATCATTACTGAGCTTGCTGAAGGTCACCAGCTGGAGCATGTGCATAAGCCGGGCATGAAAAAAGAACTTTCCGAGTTTTCCTTTCGGATGATATAAACCAGATACATGTATGACAATTAGTTTCTGGGCTATAATTTTTTTTACTCTGTAAACCTTTCATCTGGACACCCCGTATATAATAATTGTTTTCTTTCACGCTTCTTTTATTAACAACTCACCAGAGGTCACTTTCCTACCAGACCTCATAGGTGCAGAAAGTGTGAAGTCCTGTGTATAGACCCATATTTTCATATTTACCATATACTCATTGAGGTACTCTTCTAAATCCAAGTTTCATCACAATGTTGGAAAAAATATATTCACAGAAATGTAAGTGCTGGTAGTGAAGGGCACCATCACTGCAACAGAGACATCCACGGAACACCTTTCCAATATCGGGTATATATAGCTGTCTTCAAATTCAAGATCTGTTTCCAGTTAAATCTAATACTAAACTCTCAAAAAAGGATTTTTGCTTTATTTAAGGTCTGCATTGTAACACACACTCACCATTCAGGACTATCCAATACAACTGGTCACCCCAGTGTAAAGAACTACCCTTTCCACCCATCTGACTTCCAGTTACAGTAGCTCACACTATTAAACCATCAATACTGCCTTCTTTTTCTCACCTCAACATCAACATGTGCCCACATTAAAAATTCAACACCATAATATTAACACATTCAGGACCGGAGGGGCCAATTGGCCCTCTACGTTTCTAAAGCGTTGCGGACCGGGCGGGCCGACTGGCCCTTTTCTGAGGCGTTATGTTGCAACCGACTATATCTCGCTGTGTGGCCACGTTGCATCATAACTACTGCGTAGTCGACCTAGGGAATGTTTGCTAGCTTAGCCAGTAACATGATCACGCTCATTTCCTGTCACACCCTAAAGAAAAAAGCCTTTGTTCGAGTCCAAGCTTCCACGTATGAACCAGGAAGTTAGCAGTGCAACATGGATCAGAGACGAAAGCAGTTGCAGGCGAAGCGTTCTCTCGGAGAACAAGAAATATTAGATTTGTTCTCCGATGAGCTATCAGATTTGCCAACTGCTTCGTCTTCTGATAGCGAGGCCAGCCTCAGTGAAAGTGACAGTGACAGGGGCCACAGGGCCCCCCAAAATATTGTGTCCAGTGAAAGTGAGAGCTCCGATGAAAGTGCGAGTACCGGGACAGCCACATGGGGTAAAGTGGACAAAACCCCCACTTTGGGTAGGTTTACTGGTAATCCAGGGGTGAAGCGGATGCCATCGGACCCAACGGATGTGTCTGAAGTTGCGTCACTGTTTTTTGGAGATAGTTTCTTTGACCTGTTATGTCAGGAGACTAACAGATACTATCTCGAACACCGTGAGGCGTACGATCGCACCTATAAGGTGTTGAAGTGGGTGGATGTCACTTCAACAGAAATTAAAAAATTTTTTGGCTATGATCATTCTAATGGGGTTTACGAAGAGAGATACTTTGAAGGATTATTGGTCAAGTGACCCATTTTTAGAAATTCCCATTTTCGGCAAACTCATGAGTTGTACGAGATTTGAACAGATATGGTGGTGTTTGCATTTCAATAATAATGAAGTGCAACCACAACCAACGGGCAGGCTTTTCAAAATTCAGCCCTTATTAGACACTTTGGTTGAGAAATTTCAGACAGTTTATAAGCCAGAGCAACAACTGTCTTTGGACGAATCTGTGATTCCTTGGAGGGGAAGGCTTCGTATTCGAACGTATAATCCTGGGAAACTCACAAAGTATGGCCTACTTGTTCATGTAGTCATGGAAAGCACTTCAGGCTATATAGGAAATTTATTCTGCTGAAGGCAAGAAATTGCAAGAAACTATTGTTTCTGTTTTGGGTCCCTATCTTGATCAAAACTATCACGTGTATCAAGATAATTATTACAACAGTGTGGCAACTGCAGAATACCTACTTTCAAGGAAAGTACGTATTTGTGGTATAATTAGGGTGAACACAGGCCTTCCTTCAGATCTGAAAGAGGAATGTAAATGCCTGAAACGTGGTGACACCACATTCAGGAGGAAGGGGGACATTCTTCTTCAGTCCTGGAGGGATACTCGCGTTGTGAATATGGTTTCCACTATTCACAATTCAAGTATGGTTCATGTTCAGAGACGCCACGGGCAAGTGAAGAAGCCTCTTTGTATTTCCGAGTATAATATGTTCATGAAGGGAGTTGATAGGGCCGACCAGTACTTGACCTATTATTCCCTTCCTAGGAAAACAGTAAAATGGACGAAGGAAGTTGCACTGTGGCTTATAAACCGTCCACTTTTCAATTCATTTTCGGTTTTCAAAAAGGTGAACAGAAATTCTACTTTGAAATACAAAGCATTTCTGTTGAACTTGGCAAAAGCTTGGGCTACTGACCTCACGGTGGCGCCAGTACCTGTGTCAGACACAGATGTAGTGCAGCCGGGGCCATCTGTTGGTGCCCGCTGGAGGCCTCGTGTGGACCCCCCTGGACGACTCTCAGGTGATATGCGGAAACATACCCTCGTGAGAATTGTGAAGAGTGAACATTGTAAGAAGTACCCTTCTAGGCAGTGCCGTGTGTGCGCAGTCCACAAGAAGAAGAGTAGGACTACATACATCTGCAACTTCTGCATGATACCTCTTCACAAAGGGGAATGTTTCCAGAGATATCACACGCGCAGACACTTCTAGGAGCTCTGGTAAGTGTTCTCCAAAAATTTTAGTTCATAAAATTAATTAGGATATTTTATATTAATTTTTAAAGTGAAGAGCGCACAAGTTAGGGTGCTATGCTTAAAAACCCTGGTCCCCAGGGTGATTTAAATATTTAAACAACCGGTCCGCAATGTGTTAATAAATATCTGGAAATATAAACACTACAGGGACAATTGATGAAATTAAATACAACAGCATTAACAATATGACTGAAGGCATAAAAATGAAGCAAACCACTGGAGACAGCAAGGACAAACTTAATAGAAAAATAAGGGAGACATACACAACAAAGCAGAGCAAGTGACACATAAAACAAACACTTATGGGAGGGTAAAGAAGAATGGAGTAAGCTTTATCATCAGGAGATTCACTCTCATCTATATAAAAGCATATGATACTGATGCTACCACAAAGCATACCTCTAACATTTTGCCTCCAATCCTGCATCCCTCTTTTCTACCTGAATGTCCCAAATTCCCTCCAATGCTCCACCACAATGGAGATATTGGGTTTTTGGACTTTATCCATCCTCCTGGTTTTTAACGATTACAGGACAGGCCATTTAAATTCTGGTAGTGGCAGCGGGATGCAGTTAATTTAAATGCCCGCCATTGTAGAGTAATAAAAACTGTAATCATGTTACTCAAAATGCTGTGATTTCTACAATTTTTGTGATAAACGAACAAAATAAATGCTACTTTTATCTAGAAAGTATATAGAATCAGATACTGTAATTTACAGATTTTAGAATCTGTAAAAATTGTTACATTGATTCCAAAAATGTTTTACCCAGTTTTGAGCGTCTGTCCACAAAAATTCATAAAGCTTCTGCACAATACGTTTCTGCAGTATAAATGCATGGTGCTGACTCACTGTCTGTGTCTTTTATCTGGCAATAGGAGAGGATGTTTATGGTCTGCACATTCTCCAGTCACTAGGCTTACTGTATACCCCAGTGTGGGTGAGTTCTTATCCTACATTGCCTTATGAAACTCTGTTTATTCACGTATGTTGGACTAGCCACACAGAGGCAGTTCTTGGAATATCACCTCATATCACTTGCTTCCACCCTTCAGAATAAACTGTAACGCATTCTGAATGGTGTGATTTACGAGCAGCCTCTGAATTTCGACTCCTTCAATACAAAAAGGGGCCATGGTGCATAGTTGAAATTGCGATGTTTTATAAGCGTTATGAATAGAGGACACCACTCGCCATCACTGGCTTACTTCCTGCTAATACGAGACTAACATTCCGTGTGCACACTTCGCGTGGAAAACAGAGTTAATTATGGACAAAGTTCATGAATTGCGACGTCGGACTATGCATTCAGTGCCATGCAACATTCAGTTAGATGATGCAGGAGGGAAGACAGTCTACTTATAAAGCTGGTGTCCAAAAATAATGTAAGTAGAACAGGAATTTCTATCTCAAAATAAGATTTTAAAACACTGTGTGCACGCGGCGACTGCGCATACCCATACAGTGTCTTTCGGCCACTCGGCTTTATTTTAAAAGTCCCCATACGGTGTCCTTCGGCTCATAAAGGTTAAGATAACTAAGAAAAACACTTCGGAAACTGGATTTGTTTCCGTCCTCAGGTGAGGGAAAACACCTATTCTGTTGGGTCCCTTACAAAGAGCTAGCCTCAATCACTGGACAACTGATGTCACAAAACACAAAGGATATAAACACCTAGACCAGGCTAAGTCCATGAGAGCTAATAAGAAAAATATACATAACAAATTGTTCCAACACATACAAGCATGGAACTAGGATAGATAGAGCCGTAGAAATTTATGTCACAAAACCAAACTAATAACCAGGTCCATGACCCCACGGCATGGAATAGAAAGGAGAACTAGTAATAAAAAAAGTAATAGTGTCTAACTAGCGTCAACAATGGAGCAAATCACGTCTATCTAATTTAGAACCCAATAGAAATCAATAAAAACATAAATCACTCATACAGATCTTCTATGTGAATTGGTGACTTCATTGCTGATAATGGGGATCCAAATGGGAGAAAAGTCCAAACTGGCTGGCTAATTGGGTTGGCCGAGCATGCCATATGGGCTGCTTCCTTGTATTTCCTATAGTAACTACTCCACCACAATGTTTACTCTCTATCAATAAATTAATTTGTAACAAACCATCTTACAGCATAATATTCTGCTACTGCTTTCACTTGCTCATAGTCATCAGCCCGAGCCAGTGCTGCCAAACCATCAGGATGCAACTTGCCACACCGAGGGTAAAGTTTGGCTCGATCATCCTTAGTCAATTCTGTACCAAATGAGTTGATGGTGATAATGATGGCTCTTCGATCTGCCTCAAACTGGAACAGTAAGATGATGTAAAGACATAGACTTTAAGAAAAGAAATGAGAGAGTGTATCTGTTGAAAGTTTCCTTGTGACAATCTGTTCCAGTTTCTTTCCAGAATGTATTAATACACTGCATTAAATCAAGGAGGAAACTTCGCAACACCGCTGACCCAGCCCACCATACCTCATAGATTGCTGCTGTAACTGCTGATAGCAGAATGAGTCATTAGCGCTGATAAATGTGCACGGTTGGGTGGCGTGATCTTGTCACTGCAGTTAAGTTGCAGTAATAGTCAGTCTGTGCTAGAGATTTTGATAGGCGGTGTGTTTATTGTCAAAATATTTCCAAGGAAAAAAACATAGGAACTGTATCAGTAAGCTTCATCGTAAATATCCTAACGCGCCAGTTCCCACAAAGTTTTGTGTATCCAAGCTTGTGAAAACTGGCGGGCCACAGGTTTAGTGTGTGACATAAAGAAGCAATCAAAGAGGATTGTACTGACCAAAGAAAAAGTTTGGCATATTGTGGCATGACTACAGATCATTCCTTGAAAATTGTTAAGATGCTTAGCACAGAAAACCGGTGTTTTGCTAGGATCTACTTTCACAGCCACAAAATTAATCAAATTTCACCTGTATAAAATAACAGAGTGAAATAACATGCGTAATTAGTTCAATTACCGTGGACCAACTTCAGAAAGTGTCGCATAATTTATTTATGTGATGCAAGGCATGTTTGCAAGCAGAAGGGGGTCACTTTCAGCACCTGTTATAAAGAAAGGTAAGTTTGTGTTATCTTTTTATGGTATTCTTATAATGTGTGCATGTACAGAAACTGATGTGAGGGAACAGTCATGGAGAAACGATCCATTCGCTCTATGCTAGCGACAGTGTGCGCATTTATCAGCGCTGATGGCTCATTCTATCGGCAGTTACAGCAGCAATCTGTGAGAGAAATTGTATCCAACTCACGCTGCTATCCCAGTTTCCTCGATGATTGAACACCCTGTAATTATACAGGAATTAAATACAACTAAAGAAAATATTTACTGCTGCCATAATATTAAATCTGGGCAACCTGTTGCATTGATTAGTTAATATTATTGTTTCATTCTCATGTTTGCAATTTTCATGTAATGTTCAGATGGCTGTGTGGGTTTTCAAAGACACGTTACATTAACTTATTAGCACTATTAGCATGACATTTTTTGGTCAACACTGTAACCATTTTCAAGTGAGTACTTGATATTGCTCTTGAGCACAATTACTACTTGTGTTCCACCTCTTGTTGAGTGAACCATTAATTAAGAATTAACAATTAAGACTAACAGTTAAAATCAAAGTTTCAATCACTTGAAGGCTGATGAAAATGTACGCCTTGTTGTTACTCAGAACTCTGGTATACCTGCGTTCCTATTTTTCTCTTCTGTTTATTAGCTGAAATGTATAATGATCTGTGTTACATTTTGGTACTACTATACTACTGGCACGCATATTGTAATACATATCTACTTATATGAGGGTTGGAACTTTGATAGTGGCAACACTGCTGTAGAGACGCCATGCAACAGAACCAAATAATGTCACTTTTACCACACGTTAGTTACATACCTACCTTACCTCAGAGCAAATTGACTCTCCCTTCCCACATCATGCGCATGTGCAGTGATGAGAAGAACAGAGCCTTGTGTTAGCTGGCGGTCTAATATAGTGCTGTCACGATGTTTTCGAAAAAGGAACAACAGAGTCGGATAAAGACTGAATGTGCCAGAGGCGGTACAGCATGACAGTGTCATCAAGGTCTTCAAGAGGCTTGCGGGGAATCTGTATTGCCTTACAGAACAGTGGCAAGGTGGGTAAAAGTCTTCAATGAGGGATAACAAAATGTGGCAGAAAAGTGTCGACCAGGTCGTCCTAGTGTCAGCGAAGAAGAAGTGTATGCTTTTTCCGCATTACTGGAGAGTGATCGACACCATATGATTCATGAGCTGGCCCGAGAGACAGGATTAGCGCATACGACTGTGCTTCACATTCTGAAGGAACACCTGGTCATGAGAAAATTGCATCACAATGGGTTCTGCATGATTTGATGGAAATGCAGAAATGGCTATGGTACGACACTGCTTGTAACCACCTGGAGTGCTATGAGTGCAAAGGAGAGGCTCTCTTACGCCGTATCATTATACTGGATGAGACATGGGCCAAATCGTACCAGTACGAGCCACAAATGAAATGCCAATCAAATGAATGGCGTCAGTAGAGGTCACCACAAAAATCAAAAGTTTATAAGAACCCCAGCAATGTGAAAGTTCTGGTGATTCTTGTGTACGACTATGATGGTGTTAGCCTAACGCATACTGTTCCCCAACAGTAGACCGTCAATGCGCAGTATTACTGTTCATTTTTGGAACATAACCTGCGACCAGCTTTGAGAAAGTGGCGGCGACACTTTCTGTAGAACCAACCCATCATTTTGCAGGGCAATGCTCAGCTGCACGCAGTGCAAGCTTTGGCTGATTTGTTTGATCGATGGGGCTGGGAAGTGCTGTACCATCCACCATACTCCCTGGACTTAAGCCCTTCTGACTTCGACTTGATTCCTAAGACAAAGGAACCACTTCATGGCATTTGCTTCAGAACTGTTCCAGAGATTCTTCAGGCAATACACCGCTCCTTTCGAACTATCAACACAACAGGCGCTGCTAAAGGTATCCTATGACTTCCACATCACTGGCAACAGGTTGTACATAATGCTGGTGAAGGACAGTAAAACTTCGAAACATGAATCTACAGTCAACTCTCGATTATCCGGGATAATGGTGGGCATGGAAATCACGATTAATCGAAAACCCGGTTAAGACAAATGTTATTAAAAGTAGTACTGTAATACTGTACCTTCATAATACTAGTATTTAAATTTACTCAACCTCATTTTTATGTCATCTCATGGGCTATTTAATACTTTTTTTACATTATACTGAAGTGTGAATTAGTTATTTCAATCACAGTGTTCAACAACATCCAACACTTTTTACGAATATTCACACTTAACACTTAAAAAAAATTAATATTGTTGTTTGCTTTTTCGCGGCATTTTCCTTTTTATAGATATCCATACGAAGCCTACGTAATATTAGCTTGTCACTTAATAAACTGTTCTCTTCACTCTCAAGATAGTCTAATAAGGATTCCAAATGACTAAGAGCAGCACCATGTGATATTTTCTTACTACCAGCACTGTCCACCTCTTCCTCATTCTCACTTTCTTCCCACACTTCTGGCTGCACCCCCACTGAACTTACGGTTTCGTCACTGCTTAACATTTTGAAGCCCGGTCATACGAGTTTCTGCTGAATACTTAACACAACACGCTTCCTTTTACACCCTGACATTTTGCTAACGCACTTGAAGATCGATACAAAGAGACCAACTGGGGTGGTGTATCTGTCCTTGAAACGTTCCACAAATCCTTGCATTCTTTCCCCCCTACCCTAGAACATTGTGTTAGCATAATGGGACCAAAGAATGCAGAGCTCGGTTCACACTAGTGCGAAAATAGTGTTACAACTCACCATGTGAAACAAGAGTGAGTGAATATTAAACAACATATAAGCCTCAAAAAAGCCTCAATAGCCCCGGTTAAGCCGCAAACCAGTTAATCCGCCACCAGATAATCGAGAATTGACTGTATTTTGTATCAGCTGGAAATAAATAGTTGCCACTATTAACCTTTAAGAGACACCCATTTAAATTCCAGTAGTGGTAGCGGGACGGAGTTAATTTAAATGCCCGCCACTGTAGAGTAATAGAAATTGTAATCATCTTCCTCAAAATGCTGTGATTTCTACAATTTTTGTGATAAACGAACGAAATAAACGCTGCTTTTATCTAGAAAGAATATGGAATCAGTTATTGTAATTTACCAATTTTAAAATCTCTAAAAATTTTTACACTGATGCCATAAAAAATTTTTCCCCTCAATTTCGAACGTCTCTGCACAAAAATGCATACAGTTCCTGCACAAAACATTTCTGTAGTCTGAATGCCTGCTGGTGACATCATGCTCTAACTATGGCTTGTGTTGCTACAAGGTCGGATGTTTACGCTTCGTTCATCATTCTCCAGTTCGTAGGTTCCTTTCGGTATGAACGAGTGTGGGCGATGTCTACTCGTTCGCAGAAACACTGACTGTTTTATCTCGTATAGCCAAACAAGAAGTAGTCTGTTTTGAAATATAGCTGAGCAGTGTCAGAACGTTCAAGGCTAGTGTTGTGTTTAGCTGTCCAACATGGCCTCGTATTTGGAAGACGCTGAAAATGAGAATCAGCTTATAAATGACACCAATTCAGACTGTTGTACCGATGACTCTGAGAGTTGCGAGGAAGAAAGTGAATCAGAAATTGAAGTCGATGAAGAACCATCATCTTCGTCGGCAACCTGGGGACCACCACACCAGCGTGGCAAGAGGAGTGTGAATAATTATTCAGGTGGAGCTGTGGGCAAACTGTGGCAAACAGTTATAGCATCTGTCGTCGAACCTGGAAATGGACAAATAAACTATTTTTCCGTCTCCTGGATCTGAACAGTTACATCCTGTTGTCACACAGAGAATTTCGTCTCGCTCTTGTGCGGAACATGCTGGAAGGGGTCCACCTCGCCATCAACAGCCCAGGGGTCGAACCCCTGCCGTTTTATCGGAGATATCTCGATTATAGGAGGCCAAACCACATCACTGGCCGACTTCCTCTACTTCACAACTGAGGTGTGTGTGCTTTTCGTGTGGGAAACGAAGAACCGTCCGGACAAAGTGTGTGAAGTGTGACGTCGGACACTGGATTTCCGGATGTTTCCAAGACTTCCACACGAAGCCAACAGTCCGTTAGACGACGCAGGTGGGAAGAGAGACAACTTATAAAGCTGGTGACCAAAAATCATGTAAGTAGAAAAAGAATTTATAACTTAAAATTAGATTTTAAAAAGCTGGCCGCACGCGTAGACTGCGCGACGACATATGGCGTCATTCGTCCCCTTGACTTTATTTTAATGACGCCATATGGTGTCGCTTGGCTCTTAAAAGTTAAAGTTCCAACCCTCATACTTATGTGTAGTGTTTGCACTTAATGGATGAAAGGAGGACACTGCCACCTGAAAGGACAACTTTTCAAAGTGGGATTGACAGACAACCCAACCTGTGAAAGGTGCATATGAGAAGACAAATCAGCCACACATATCCTATGTGATTGTGAGGCCATAGCTTATTTAAGATTTTGTCACCTGGGCCAGTTCCTTATGGGACCAAGTGACTTTTATGACGCCCCATAAATAAAGTCCTACACTTCATTCGAAGTGTAGGATTAATAAAGGGTTAAATCCAAAAGGGAAGCACAATAGATCATTGAGGGTCACAATGCAAGGGCAGATTTTATGGCCCAACTTTTACACATACTACCACATACTACTAACATATGAAGATTGCAGATGTTTCGCATGTTGGAATTTTTATAGCTTTGTATTTGAGTCTGCATTGCTATCTGGTGTAAAACTTGAAATACTGAATTCTGAGTGTCTCCATGAATATCATTCATTTGTAAATTGTTATAACGCATCAAAGAAATGTGGTATTTCTCTAGGCTCTTTAAATGTTCTCCCTTTTCTCATTTCTATGACATTCATGGCATCTGTTGTGGTTCTATATGTATATTTTGTATTTAATATATGATCTGAATCATCAGAGTTGCTACTGTCACTGTGTATTTCTTAGATGTGTTCTTTCTTGCTTGTCTGTGACTCCTTCAAAGGACTCTATCCAAAAAATCCCTGCACCAATTATTGGATGATGCCTCAAAGTACAATTTAACTGTTTCTACATCACAGAAAAAAAAAATCCTGGCCACAAAAGGAAAAGAATTAAAGACAAAAATAGTAGTAAACAATAATATATTCAAATAAGTTACAAACTTTAATTATTTAGGTTCTCAACTGGGCAGTAAAAACAATTAAGATGCAAAGAATAAATAACAAAGTTTCCATTTATAACTTACAGCAAGAATCTCACACATGACATCAGCTGTGGTACCTCCAAGTTCCTTGCAGAAATTGAAAAAAGCTTCCAGATATGCCTTGTACAGTGTATTTCGGATAATCTCAATGTTCATCTCATCCAAATCTTGCTCACTAATGCAGTCAACAAAGAAAGGAGCTGGAACAATAAATATGTAACAATTTCTTTACCTACAACACCTATAATGGTTAAATTACTACCTACTTTTACACACGTCTTCCTCAGGTATTCCAGAGTTCCTTGTTATAGTACCCAAAGGTTTTATCACGGAGTTCCATTCAATCAATCCAGTTCAGTCTAGCTTCCCTACAAGCAAATTTAGAATCCTACCATCCATGTCATAAGTCCCTCATGTGCTTTTGTCTTCCAGAATTTTCCAATCAGACATTAGCAATTGGTAACTACAGTAACATCCCATTATAGCCACACATTGATTATAGCAGAAGTACAACATTGTACAATGTATACTTTACTGTGGCTGACTTAGGTGAATGGCAGAATAGAATTCACTGTAGATAATATTAACTGTTTCACTGTCAACACAACACTATTCCCAGCAGGTGGAGTCTGCTGTCTAGATGACATGTAGCACCATATGTCTGCCATCTTATGATTAAGTATTTAGTTACAACTATTCTATCATTATTCTATATATGTATGTTAAGGTGGCATACACATGCCAAACATTTTGCCCAATACAGCAAACTCTACCTGCTGGAAATAGTTTTATGTTGATAGGAATATAATAAATATTCTCTATAATGATTTACATAACAAGATGCAACAAAACATGAGAATTCAATGACCATTATATAAATGAAATAAAAGGAGACCCTATGTTGTACCCATTCCATGAAAAATAAAGTTTTGATATGATCTCCTACTAACCACAATTTTAAAAATCAGACAAAATGAACTCAAGATGACTGCTGTATATAAAAACCATGAACATGAAACAGGGTTCTCTGCTGAACCCAGCCATTTAATTTAGAACTCAAAATCAATTGAACCTGGTATGTATTCATGATAAGTGAAACCAAATAAGATATTTAGTTTATCTCACCAAGTGCTTATACATACCCAGTGGTGTGTCAACAAGCACTGCATTGTACAGTTCAGCTGGAGTGGCTGCAACATGAATGGCTTCCATCTGCTCAAAGCTGCCCAAAGGATGGCACTTGGGAATCAGCTCAGAAATAGGTCGGTGGTGCAGGGTTCCAGTAATTAGAAGAATGATGTTGTCTATCATGTAGCTGTAACTGCATTAACAAACAAACAAAAACAAACTCCGTGGCCAGTAGTCCACAAGCAATGTATACTGACTGAGCGACGGCTGCTTGTCGGTGAAGTTAGTGCCAACTTTTGTGGATGGAGGGTGTCATGTGGTCAGTGTAATGGATTCCCAAGGCCGTTAACCTCGGTTTTCTAGGCCGGAGCTGCTATTTCCTTGAATGAGCTCCTCAATTATCCTCATGAGGCTGAGTGGAGCCTGTTCCAACCCACTACTTCTCAGAAAATTTTGTAGCGCCGAGAATCGAACCCGGGACCTCGGGATCTGTAGGCAGGAACTCTGACCATTAGACCACAGAGGTGGTCCTGTAACTGTATTATAGGTAAAATATTCTGTTCAGAGTTTCCACAGCTGAAATTTGTTGGACATAAAACCCTCTAAATTAAAAACTATGTACACCTCAGCAATGAACTGTATGTATGAAAACAGAACACAACAGTTTTTGTCTGCTGCCTAAGTTTAAGGCAAGAAAATAAATACTGCTAGTTATACCATATTCTCTGGTAGACTTATGATAAAAAAAAAAACAAGGGGCAACACACTTTTAAGTTTCCTACATTTCTTCTTGAAAGACTGAAGCCAGGACATAACAGGCTGCTAAGTCAGTCTACAGTAAGCATCATGTTATATGAGATTTCATAAGATGAGCTGGGATAGCTTAGTCAGTGAACTGGCAAGGTGTGGATCAGGTTTAATTTAGAGTCCTGACATGGATTTTTCTCTTCACCACATCAGAGGATCCATTCAGATTCTGATCAAATGGATACAAGGAGTTGTATTCCTGTGGGTAAAGGAGTGGAGAACAAAGCTACCTACTCACCTCTGTTCACCGATATTGCCTTTATAGAGCTTGATTTACCACTTTACCTCTGCATAACAAAAGCACTTTAAAAACACCAATACCAGAGAGTGCATTTTGAACACTTCCTGGTACTTATACAAAAATGAATAATTACATACCAACACTGGAGTAGTGCATTTCGAACACTTTCTGGTACTTATGCAAAAATAAATAATTATTTGACTACACTAATATACTTCACATTTAAAGTATTAACAGTAAACTGTTAGTAATGACAACAAAATCAACAGAATCCCCTGTTTTCATATAATAATTTGAGAACTGACACAGTTCACAATGTAAACTGAATGTGGGTATCACACAACAAACAACTAAACCTAGCCCTCAGATTACCGGATTATTTTAATTTGATACAAGAATAATGCTAATGCTTAGCCAAAGCACATTATCACAATGAACAGAAAAGCATTATGTCCCCATAACCCGGAGAGGTATACTGATGAATACTCTTTCTGAAAATATGTTAATCTCGTATAACAATTGGAAATTTAAAGTTAATTTTAGTTCCCATATACATCATCTACATCACTAATGGCCATGAAATAAATACATTCACAAGGAATGTATTAAAATTATCTTCCAACAAATGTAATTAAAGTTACATGTGTAGCCAAACCTATGCACAAAAGGTGATTATCTTTACTTATTAACTGATATGAACTTCAATGTATATATGGTGCACACTGGTACTACACAGTAAATAGGTAAAGGTAAATTTATCCCTGTAACAGGCCATGAAGGCCCATAGGGCTGTGAGACGTCGAGGCTCCCACATTTTCTAGACAATCAGCTCACATGTGGCGGTAAGGTTGTCAGCCTTACATGCTGGCCATACTTTGTCCTTTACACCCCAGAAAGATTCCTGGTACTCATTTCTGCTAGAGGCTGAGTCGACCCAAAGTCCACAGTTCAGCTGGAAGGATTAGGTAAATTTGAAGAGAGAGAGAAAAAAACCACCACATTGGGACTTGAACCTCCGACTTTCCGGCTTGTAGCATAGTACCTCAACCAATTAAAAAAGTAAGTAAAGCTATCCCTGTACCAGGCCGTGAAGGCCCACAGGATTGTGAAACGTTGAGGGTCCCACATTATCTAGACAATCGGCTCAAAGATGGCGGTAACGTTGTCAGCCTTACGCGCCGGCCGCACTTTACTCCCCAGGAAAATTATTTAATTAATTCCTGGTACTCTTTTCTGTTAGAGTCTGAGTAAACTCCAGGGCTTACTGCGGCTGGTAGGATTAGGTCAATTGAAAAAAATCCAATGACCTCATTGGGACTTGAACCCGCGACCTACCGGCTTGTAGCATAGCCCCTCAACCATGCTACCGCGTGCCCCTCCTCAACCAACTATGTCTACCTAAATTAGTTTTAGCATAAATAAAGGCAATATGTTTGTGTTAATGGCTAAGGAAGAAACTGTGCTACAGGGCATGATTGATAGACTTAACTGAAATTGGAAGGTGCTATGGCATGGAAATGAATGTGGAGAAAACAAAAGTAATGAAAATTTCGAGGCAACCAACCCCAGTCACAACAAAGATAGACCAAAAACAACTGGAGAATGTGAAATGTTTTAAATATTTGGGTAGCTTGTTAATAGATGATGGAAGGTGTACTAGTGAAATTAAATCCAGGATTGCCATGGCAAAAGCTGCATTTAGCAAGAAGAAGAATCTTTTTACCAGCAAATTGGACTTAAATTTGAGGAAGAAACTAGTGAAATGCTACATTTGGAGCATAGCTCTGTATGGGGCTGAAACATGGACACTTAGGGCAGTAGATCAGAAACATCTGGAAAGTTTCAAAATGTGGTGTTGGAGAAGGATGGAGAAGATTAGTTGGACCGATTATGTGAGAAATGAAGAAGTGTTAATTAGAGTCAGTGAGCAGAGCAATATCCTACATGAAATAAGAAAATGGAAGGCTAATTGGATTGGTCATGTTTTACGCAGAAACTGCCTTCTAAAAGAAGTTATTGAACGAAAGATAGAGGGGCGAATAGAAGTGACAAGAAGATGAGGAAGAAGATGGAAGAAGATGCTCGATGACCTTGGGGACAGAAGAGGATACTGTCATTTGAAGGAGAAAGCTCTAGATCGCATTAAGTGGAGGAATTGTTTTGGAAGAGACTGTGGATCTGACAGATTACTGATGATGATGATGATGATGATGATGATGGATATTTGAGAGAAAATGGAATGCCACAATACAAGCAGACATATCAAAATTTTAAAAATTCAGTCACATGAAAATAACTTTGCTATACCATATACATCATTCAAACAATTCATAATGCTCACGTAATAAAATCCAGAAATGTCGACAGAGGTTCCACAGCATGCTTTCGCATGTGCTGGAATTCAATTACAAGCTTCTCACGAAGTTTGTCATCAATGACAGATACCTGTAACGGACTTGGTTCATTTGCAAGGAAACTTCCATAGTCCGTACCCTGAAGATGGAGTTTCAAATCTGAAATTAAGTGCATAAGTTACTTGTTAAGGTTAGAATCGTGCCAAAATACAATGCCATCCTTAGAAGATTGCATCATGTTTGTGTTTACTTTTATTCACTTAGTGGGGGGTGGAGTCCAACTGGGTCCACTTGGCATGGTGGCCACTGATTGGCCTATTGTACTTGCCCTGGGTGATTATGATGATGGAGAATTTGGTGGAATGAAGATTGGCAGGGGAAACCAAAGCTCTCGGAGAAAACCCACCCCCAGCACCACTATGTCCACCACAAATCCCACTTGACCAGACCCAGGATTGAACCCGGGCCGCTGCAGTGGGAAGCCAGCAACTAACCACTTGAGCTATGGCGCAGCCATGTTTACTTTTAAGTAACAAGATTAACTGTCACACAAACTTACAATAAAGAACTATTTTTGTTTTCTATTTCTTATTATACACTACATGTTATATGCTTAATTATACACAATACATGTTTATGGTATTGAATTGAATTGAATTTATTTACATTCTATAAATCCTAAGTAGGTTAGTACCTTTGGATACAGAACAAGTCAAAAGGTTACATACATAAGTACAGGCAATTTTAGCTTAAAAATTAATATAACTTAATTTTACATCATTCTCTATTTACATTGAAGTATTCATCTAAAGAGTAGAAGGAATGAGCATGTAGATAATTCTTTAACTCTGATTTAAACTTTTTAGTATCATTGCCCAAGTTTTTAATACTTTGTGGCAGATTGTTGAACACTTTTATGCCAGTAAAGTAGACTCCTTTTTGATATACTGATAAAGTTGATGAGGGTAGGTGGAAGTTATATTTTTGTCTAGTATTCATGTTATAGACATCAGAATTTAATTTGAATTTATCTTTGTTGTAAACAACAAATAAGAGAAGCGATAATATGTATTGTGATTGAAGAGGTAGAATTTTTAATTTCTTAAATAATTCTCTACATGAATCTCTACTTCTACATCCTGTAATGATTCTAATTATATTCTTTTGTATTTTAAAAATTATTACACTATGTGAAGAGTTCCCCCAAAATATTAATCCATAGTTCATAATAGAATGAAAGTAGGCATGGTAAACCATCTTCAATGTTTCCTGTGACATAAAAGGCTTAATTGATCTCATCGCATAGCAAGCTGCATTTAATTTAGGTATAATTTGTTCAATATGTATTTTCCAAGACAGTGTACTGTCTACATGTATTCCAAGGAATTTTGTATCAAGTACTTTACAGATTAATTTGTTGGCATAACTGATGTCCAGATCAATTTGGTGGTTGTTTTTAGTTGTGAATGATATGTAATGGGTTTTATCAAAATTTAATGAGAGTAAATTGGCTTCGAACCATCTGTTTAAGGCTTCAAATACAATATTTATGTCATTTTTAAAGTTTTCAAATTTAGAGTTCTTAAATATTATACTAGTGTCATCTGCATATAGAATTGGTTTAGATTTATTGTTGATGGTTTTAGATAGATCATTTATGTAGAGAAGAAAAAGTAAGGGACCTAAAATTGATCCTTGTGGAACACCGTGCTTTATAATTCCCCAGTTTGAAAATGCATTATGACTGGAGTTTTTATTGTTTATTTCAACTCTATGCAAGCACATATTCTATTCAACTGAAAATATGTCTAACATTTTTGGCAAGTTTCCAAGAAAAAGTTACAAAAACATACTTTTGGCTTCGTTATGTCTGGTTTTTCGACCTGTCCACATGTAATGACACAAGAAGCACTGGATGGATGGTCATGAAATCTCAAGTTATGGAATTTTACTAAAATTTGTCAACACATCCAAATTTTGTATGCTCCGTAGATCATCAAGCCTCCTATCTGAGAGGTATTGCAGGCTCTTTCAACAAGAGCAAGATGGCATGGGCATGAAGCTGACCACTCAATTTCATCTAGTGCTGAAGTTAGAAACTGTGAAGTTATACCCCCTCTACCTTTATGTCTTGGTGGCACAGTGCTTCATTAATTATGCACAGGAACAACTTTACTTATATACACTCCATGTTTCAACCATAACAAGTCATCATCAGGCCCTCACTCACTCACTCACTCATGGAGCTGAGTCCTTCTTGGGAAGCTACCAATTGTGCACCTACTCAAGAAATTCCCAGCATTTTATGGAACCCAAAGGTCCAGTACCATGTTTACAAGAGTCCTCTACTGGTCCATATCTTATGCCAGATCAATCCAATCCATGCAATCCCATCCTAACTCTCTAAGATCAACTTTAATATTGTCCACCCATCAGTGCCTTGGTCTTCCCAGTGGTCTCTTTCCATCTAGCTTTCCCACCAATATCCTACACGCATTCCTCCCCAAATTCATGCTACAAGCCCTGCCCATCTCATGCTCCTTGACTTGATCATTCTAATTAGACTTGGAGAAGAGTACAAGTTATGAAGCTCCTCATTATGTAGTTTTCTCCAATCTCCTGTCACTTCATCTCACTTCAGTCCAAATATCCTCCTCAACACCCTCAGTCTATATTCCTCCCCCTGTTGTCAGAGACCTAGTTTCATATAAATACAGAACATATTCTAAAGCAAAGGTGAAAAGCAATGGCACTAAAGTATCTCTTTGTTTTAGAACATCCTGGATAGTAAAATTATCGGACAAATGTTTACCTATATGAAATTTACTGTACATTTTGTTTACACACATTTTAATCAGCCTAACTAGTTCCATGGGTACCCCAAACTCTATCAGAATATTGTATAATACTTCCCTCCTAACCAAATCATAGGCTTTCTTGAGGTCCAATTTCTTCTCCAATATCTAACAAATGCAAAAGATGTGAACAGGAGTTGATCTGTTACGTTGAAACCCACACTGATGATCCCCAATAATTTAATCTATACATGGACTTAACCCTGAGAGAAGAATATTGGCTAAAATTTTGTATGAAGTTGATAGCCGTGATATCGCCCTTCTTGTGAACTGGTACAATAATAGACTCCTTCCGCTGATCAGGCGATTCTTCCTTATTCTAAATAGAATTAATCAGCTTATGGATCTTAGAACATTATATTTCGCCTCCTGCTTGAATCAATTCTGCTAGAATTTGATCACTACCTGGCAATTTATACCTTTTCAGCTTTGCAATAGCAATTTCAACCTCAAAAGGGCTAGGATCAAGTACTAATAGCACAGCTGTATGGATTTCTGTCTGCCTAACATCGCTGACCCTATGTAAATTCAATAACTGAGAGGAGTAATAAGGTAAAGTTGTCTCTGTGCTTAACTAATTAAGCATTATTCCATGAAGGCGTATGGGGGAGTGGATGTAAAGATCCACATTTTCTTGACTTTGGCACTAGCTGGAGGTCAGCATCACACCCCTGCCACTTTACCCCCAGGTAAAGAGGCCCTGGGTGGACCCTAGAGCCAGTCTGGATGACTTGGAGAAGAGAAAGTTCTTGCCCCCTTCAGGACTTGAACTCCAAACCCTCAGTCGTCCAGCCTGCAGCCAATCGCTATACTGACTGCACTATCACGGCTCCTGAGAGGAATAGTTCTTCCACCTATTCAAAATGTTGTGAGAATCTGCAAGCAGATCACCATTCTCATCCTTCACCAAGTTACTTCTAGATTGGTAACCCCTCTTAAAGTCATTTACTCCTCTATACGGGTCTCTAATGTTCTTGTTCTTAATGTCTGTTGTAAGCTCATCAATTTTGTCTGAGATATTCCCTCTTTCTATTCCTGAAATGCCCGCTGATTTCACATCTTATATTGTTCAGATTATCCCCATCTATTTCGCTTGGTTCCTGTAAGCATTTCAATTTGGCTTGTTTCCTTTGTTTTCATAATTCTGAGCATCCTTCATCAAACCATTGCTTATGCTTCTTCAATTCATATTAACCCAGACCTTCTTTGGCTGAAATTTTTATATTCTCTCTAAGGTAGGCCACACATCGGCATGCATCAAGAAATGTAACAGTCAAGACATGATGCAAAGAAAGGAGCACAGTTGAAATGAATGAGATTATGAAAACCGCTGCACACTGGTCTGAGTGATGATGCTGATGAATCACGAATGAAGCAAGACTGTGTCTTTTGTCTCATGTCTTGATGCTTGTCTTGACGCAGTTGGTGTGCGGCCTCCCTAATAGTTTCCCAGGCTCTATTAATATCCACCTCAGTGCCTAAGTTTTCCAAAGATTCAAACCTATTTGAGATTTCAACACAATATAGTAGTATTAACATACAAGGCAATACTATAAATAAAAAAAATGGAAATTTTATAACCCAAAAGCCTATAACATAAGCAGATGAACAAATATTCATACACTAAATCATTCAATCTGAACAATTTTAAAATGACATTATGCCCCCATCTACAAGATATCCTAACATATAACCAGTCTCCTGAAATCATACATTCACTCATTAGTGACTTTATCATTAAGATTTCTGAAAATTTATTACAGATCTACAAGAAACCAAAACCAATCTGCATACAAAATTGTGTTCTTTCAATATTGAAAATACATATACAAACACTCCAATCCAAGAAACCACAGACATAATACATGATCAATCTGACTACAGTTTCTAAAACACCATTCAATATGCAAAACCATAATTTTAAGGTCAGTCTTCACAGACCTACATTGTACTACATCAATACATCAGCACCTGCCTTCATAAACACATTTTCCTGTATATAAATCAGCAAAATTCCGCCCTTAACCCCAGTATTAATCTAACTGTACAACTCACTAAAACTTGACAAACTTCATAAAATTTTTCAGATCAACTCTGGGTACGTAACAAGAGAAGAACGCCAGAGAGATTACAATTACCCATCACACAACTAATGATAAAGTTGTCCCTGTGCTTAACAACTAGAAGTCGTAACTTAATTTGGTTTAACCAAAGGTGGCCAACTTAACTTGCCAACTAACACAAAAATATTGTCAAGTAAATAAATCCTAAGTTCACACATTAGACCATACTTATATTTACATAAATACTGACATCATTATATTCATGTCTTCTTAATATTACGTACGATTCGACCTAATTTATTACATTGTATACATATCTCCGTATTTTAAGAAAGTTGTACTTGGTCCATACAAATTTGGCTGATCTCAGTATGTCACCTGATGATCGTTAGGTACATGTAATACACAACAAGAAATAAACTACAGAAAGATTTTTTAATATTAATTTGTGAGATGATTAATAGTATGACTTATCATGACAACTGTACATATTTTCTCACCTTCTAAAGTTTCACACTGCACAAGGTTTAGATAGTCCGCCTGCTTCAAAATACCACACTTAAAGCCTCTACAAAGGCCTTCCAAATATCCACCGTCGATATTGAATATACAACCAATCATTTTTGTTTAGTTTTGTAATCTGAACTAAACAGACCCTATACTCCTAAAGCCTTCGTTTCAACGTGCCCAACCTTTTATCGTTCTTATCTCTACCACACAACTGAAATGTCTGTGATCATATGACCGCATATGACTATCCGCGGAACGGTGTCACGGACGTCACGGATCACATCAGGAGTTGAAAAACGTCACGGATTATTTCTACCAGCAGATATTTAAAGTCTTATGGACGTCGGGTTGGGTGCAGTCCATTGAAATTTTTCATTCCTTACGAAGTATCCATATTCTGTTTCTTCAGTATTATGAAAATACGACTGGCATTCGCTATATGGAGCTCGAATGATAAAGACGTGAACATAGAAACTGGTGATAGTTCAGTGTTAATTGTTACCAAGCAACGTCTAATTAACACGCAGCAACACAAACAATTGCCCATCCCGTGTGGAAGAGGGGTCGAGTATTTCCACCGTAAGACATAGGAGGCGACGAAAAGGGAAAGAGTGCCTGGGTGTATAACCGGGCCAACCTGATCGTGGAGGATATAAATATGGGGACCTGGCCCTCCAACTTGGGAGAGTCTCGAATCTGAGACAGTAAAATGTGGTCATGAGTCCCTCGGGTCTCGGACCTGAGAATGATGAGAATGACTGAGCTGGTAAAGACTAGAAGGAATTTCAAAACGACAGACCCATCCTCTCACCAGAGAGTATGATACATAAGGAATATGACAAGTGTTGCTTGTAGCCAAGGCGAACTGATTGGCGGTAAACCGCCAGTCGTGAAGTAATTCTCTCTGACTGCATAAACGAGCTTTTCGCAAGATTCGCAGCATCCATAAAACAAAGAATATGAGGGTCGTACTGAAAGTCAGGAGCAACATTTTTTTTGTAAAGTAACATGCTTTATTGTTAGGAGAGAAGTGTTGTACAATATTCTAATAGAGTTTGGGATACCCATGAAACAAGTTAGGTTGATTAAAATGTGTTTAAACGAAACGTATAGTAAAGTCCGTGTAGGTAAACATTTGTCTGATAAATTTCCTATCCAGAATGGTCTAAAACAAGGAGATGCTTTATCGCCACTCCTTTTCAACTTTGCCTTAGAATGTGCAATTAGGACGGTCCAGAGAAACCAGGTTGGACTGAAATTAAACGGGACACATCAGCTGTTGGCCTATGCTGATGATGTGAATCTACTGGGTGTTAATTCATTCATTCATTCCTTGTATATTCCATAAATCCATATACATAGATATAGAACCAGTCACATAGTTAATATAGTACAATACGAATATAAATATTGTGACATGTTGCGCAATGGAGGACCCCTACCTCCCCAACGGCACGTGGCGGTAACGTAGCGCTCTCATTACTAATAATAGGCGAGTCACCACCCCGCCACTCTCCCCGCGGTGACGTCCCGAGCGGAGCAGAAGTTAGCCGAGCGGAGCCGAAGTTAGCCGAGTCCCCGTAACCTGGTAGCTATGCAACGAGAGTCAACAGCGGTGACGTCACCAAGGGATATCGCGGTTGCTAGGCAGCAGCCAACAACTCCGAACAGCTTTGCTAGGCCATACGCCACGTCACAGTAGTGACGTGGCGAGCGACCCTAGCAACAGCGAACGGAATAGAAGCAGGCTGAGCAGCAAGCGAGAGTCAGTTTACAATCATTAAAACAGATAAAAAACATGTGTTAAATTTATATAAAAAAAAACAGTCTTACATCACTATACATAAAATTATGCAATATTCAAATTGTTTATGTTATTATCCTTATTTCTAAGCATATTTGTTACCAAAGAATTCATCACACGTATAAAAAGAGTTTTGCAATAAGAATGTTGTCAACTGAATTTTAAAATTTTTCAATTTTTTATGTAGATACCATAAAGAAAAACACAAACTTTAATTGACGCAAGTAAAGAAATTGGTCTAGAAGTAAACACAGAGAAAACTAAGTACTGGTTATTTTCTCGTCACCAAAATGCAGGGCAAAATTATGTCATAAAATAGGAAACAGATGTTTTGAAAATGTGGCACAGTTCAGATATTTGGGAACGATAACAGATCGAAACCTGAATCAGGAGGAAATTAAGAGGCGATTGAACTCGGGTAATGCTTGCTACCATTCAGTCCAGAACCTTTTGTCTTCTCGTCTGTTGTCCAAAAACATAAAAATTACAACATACAAAACTACAATTTTGCCTGTGGTTCTTTATGGGTGTAAAACTTAGTCTCTGACATTATGGGAGGAACATAGACTGAGGGTGTTTGAGAACAGGGTGTTGAGGAGGATATTTGGACCGAAGAGAAATGAAGTGACATGAGGTTGGAGAAAACTGCATAATGAGGAGCTTCATAACTTGTACTCTTCTCCAAGTATAATTAGAAAGATCAAGTCAAGGAGGATGAAGTGGGCAGGTCATGTAGCACGAATGAGGGAGACAAGGAATGTGTATATGATATTGGTGGGAAAGCCAGAAGGAAAGAGACCACTGGGAAGACCCAGGCGTGCGTGATTGGACAATAATGGAATGAATGTTAGAGAGATAGGATTGGATGGTACGGATTGGATAGACCTGGCTCAGGATAGGGACCAGTGGAGGGCTCTTGTGTAAACGGTAAAGAACCTTCGGGTTCCATAAAATGCTGGGAAATTCTTGAGTAGCTGCAGAATTGGCGGCTCCTCCAGAAGGGCTCAGCTCCATGAGTAAGTAAAATGCTTTATTATTGCCAAACCAAATACATCACCTCAATCTACAGTCCTTCCTTTATTTTTCCACATAATCGCCACTTCTTTGTACACACATTTCTCCCAACGTTCTGGGAGTTCGAAAATTCCTTCTGTAAAATTCCGTTCCAGCCATACAAAGACACTGACGCACTGCTTTCTGAATTGCCTCCCTTGTCTCTAAACGTCCACGCAGCTGATCCTTCACAAACCCGAAGAGATGATAGCGGGAGGCTATAGGAGGGGTGTGGAAGAACTTCCCACCCCATTTTTGCAATTGCTTCCAATGTGAGGCGAGAGGCGTGGGGGCGAGCGTTGTCATGCAGGATGATGATGTTTCGTCCCGGACGTTTATCACACAATGCACGACGGAGCTTGTGCAACGTCTGGACATAACGAGCAGCATTGATGGTTTGCCCAGGTTCCAGGAACCAAATTGAACCCTCTCACCAAAGCAAAATGATATACAATGAAAGGGATGCCAAGCGTGCTTCCATACCAAGGAATACTGCGCAAACAGACCAATATGCGTGAACTGTGGAAAATAACATAGTACTAAACAAAAAATATACCAACAACACAACCAGCAACATGCCTACATTGTGGGGAATCGCATATGGCTAGCTACAGAGGCTGCAAAGTCTACCAAATAATTATATGCACAAGATTTTCTTAACCCGAACAAGAGTAAGTACTCATATTACAAATATGCCGGAACAAGAGAACGTAAGCCCTGCAGCACAATAGAAAACTGAAGGACGACCCAAAATGACATACGCGTATACAACATAGCGACGTGGAATGCAAACGAGCTGAACCAACGCATGAAAGATGTAGAAGTATTTATCAACATCCAGAAAATAAACATTCCCTTGGTGTCCGACACCCATTTTACGGAACGAAACTACTTAAATATCTCAACCTATACCACATACGGTACCAACTATCAGGATGGGAAAGCCCATGTATGTTCTGTAACAATCACAAGAAAAGACAAATCATCACGAACTTGTCAAGTATGATACGGACCATATTCAGGCAACGAATATAAGCTTCGAAGACTGGGATGGAAATTCGGCCATCTCAACCATCTTCTGCTCCCCACACCATGCAATTAAAGAGGAACAATACAGTGCCTTCTTTAACTGAGTAGGACGTAGATTTGTGGTTGGAGGTGATTTCAATGCGAAACGCCAATACTGGGAATCCCGATTAATCAATCGAAAACTATACCAAACAATACAAGAAAAGTGACTATACATACTGTCCAATGGTGGACCAATTGATTGGCCAAAAGACATCAGAAAACTCCAGATTTATTAGACTTATTTATCTTTAAATGGCTATAGCATAACTCCTTATGCATAAGACACAATCTACCACTTAGAGATAGAATCGGATTACTCATCTCAATAATACATATTATAATTATCATTTCATGCAACCTGTTGTGTTACAATATACGAGTACACCACTTTATTACAACCGTCACAACACAACTAATATCAAGATCAGTGCCTGGATTTCGGCTCTCCTACATGTTTCAGCTAATTAATAGCCATCATCAGGCAAACACACGATTAACATATATACACCGCTGAACCGCAGTACCATTACCCTTAAAATTGGATACAATATTATGAAATATAGGGATACTATAAATAATTCATTCGTTTTTAAAACGCTATATCTTCCAAAGCATTATATATACAAAATGATTCATATATAAAAAGAATCGTAAACTCAACAAGTTTTCTTCACACTCTACAAATGTTCTATGTGTGCCCCTTGAGTCACACGACACACGTCCAGGCGATAGTCGAGCTCGTTCCACACATTTTGTAGCATCATCCTGTCAATGGTCATCACTGCAGCATCGATGCGTTCCCTCAGCTCTACTAGTGTTCTTGGCAGTGGGGGTACGTAACCACGATCCTTAATATACCCCCAAAGGAAGAAGTCACAAGGCGTTAGATCAGGTGATCTGGGGGGGCAAGTGAAGAGAGCTACGTCATCCTCACCAACACGCCCAATCCAGCGATGCCGAAGTTCATTGTTTAGGTAGCGACGAACATTGATGTTCCAATGAGGGGGTGCCCTGTCTTGTTGGATGATAAAATCCCCGGAATCAGCAGCCAGTTGTGGAAATAACCATAACTGCAACATATCTAGGTAAGATGTACCAGTCACAGTTTTCTCACAAAAGAAAAACGGCCCATACAGCTTTGTCTGTGATATTGCACAGAAAACATTCAGCTTTAGTGAATCTCTTTCAAGTGGTACAATTGCACGAGGATTTTCAGTGCCCCACAATCTCACATTGTGACGATTAACCTTCCAGGATAAATGGAATGTTGCTTCATCGCTGAATATCAACTTAGCGGCGAAATCTTCATCCTCCAATGCTTCCTGTATTGTGACGCAAAATTCCAGGCGCCGGCCAACTGGTGTATGTAATACAAACCTGGTGAGATTGCGGTTCTTTTTATATATCAATCATTTTGTATGTATAATACTTTGGAAAATATAGCGTTTTAAAAATGAATGAATATTTATAGTATTCCTGTATATAAAACACTTGACATAAAAATACAATGAATTAAATTATATGAAACAGAAGTTATGATATAGAACAAGTATAAAATTCTTTGATTGATGTTTTATATCAACGAGTCAGTCGTTGGTTTTGTGATTTTGTTATGTTTCCACGGAAAAATTGGAAATTCTATATTTTGTATATAAAATTCTATAGGAGGCTCGTGATGTAGATGTAGTAAGTTAATGTTAATTATTTAGTCGGTGCCTCATCTTACGAAGTATTGTCCGTTCTGTAGGGAATGTAAACAACAACCGTGTTGTGACGGTTGTAATAAAGTGGTTGTATAGATATTATAACTCACCAAAACTGCACACCAGCCAAAAAACTGGGAAGCGTTCAGAACTCGCATCAAAACCAATTTACGACTTAATATCCCACTCAAATCTGTAAAAGACATCGAAGAAGCTATTGTAGAATTCAATGACTTAATGAAAAAGGCACATTTGAGGGCAACACCAGAGGACAAAACCTCAAGCTAAATATTCGGAATACCCATGGGAAGTCAAGGACCAAATTAAAGAAAAACGAAAACTCCGAAGAAGATGGCAGATGAGTCGGCATCCCGAGGAAAGACGCAGATATAAGTAAGAGGCTGGAAAATCAAAATACCAAATAAAATAACAAAAATATATATATATATATTTCTGACACCTTCGAAGCTTAGCACCGACAGCTGAGACCGAATATTGACTCTGGAAATCAACCGAAGGATTAAAGCAACAGGCAGAACGCATCTTACCAATTTGAAACACGGACCAGACCTGGGCCCTAAATTGCAAAGAAAAGGCGAACACTTTTGCATCCCATAAGGAAAATTAAATGGTTGAGGGTTTTGGCTAGCATCGTCCCCAAATGGTTGTCCGTAAAAACTCCCTTCAATAGCCGACGAATCTCTAAAATTGTTCAAAGTGCCAGCCAGGCCCTTATCAAGGACAGAATTCACTTCTGTCGATGCAAGAAGGCTTCACAACTCCAGAAAATCGAAGAACTGTAGATTTTTCTCAAACCATCTCTGATTAATTCTGGCCAACAGCGTATCTTTGCTGTTATCGAAAGTTCATTTAGGTAGACACTTAACAAGCAAAAACAGAGTCATATTCGTAAATTCTCCGTTCCCAATAATCAACAGAATAGGCCTACCCCAGTACTGACCTCCAAAAAATTTACCCATATCATTCCGAACACATTCTCACAGAGAGAGTTAGTCAGTCCTCTCCTATGGGAGTGTTCCTCCTATATTCTTGTGTATATTGTGTCCTATGTTGTGTCCTTTCCTTGTGACAAGGAACGTAACTCGCGAAATTTGAAATGCGACAGATAGATGATAAATCTTGAAAAGTTTTAACATATAAACTTTATTATTATACATGACACGTATACATTTTAATCATTTTATAAAGGAGACATGTTGGCATACAGTGCAATGGTTTGACGTAAATAAACCACACCCGAAGATGGCACATTAGTGCCGAAACATGTAGCCAAGAGAAAGGTGAAATTGTGTGCACTGTTAGACGGTTGATACAAATACACATGGACGTGAATCAGTGTAACAGGACGCTAAAATATAACAATGCCTATATCATAATGCGTAAATTCGCATATAATAAGTGGGCTAAAATTGTATACCACAAACTTTGTATCATGCAAGATATAACATGTAACTTTATGTAGTTAATGACATGCCCAGGAATAGAACTTATGTCTGGCAAATTTGCGAACTTTTAAAAATAGCAGATCGCTGCGAAACAGCATCACTTCAACACCACGCCATATCGTAAATTCTTAACGCTTTCTGTTTTGTTCAGCTGTCCTTGTGCTTTTCATTATGCCCTATATTTCTTACTCTGTGACATGTGCTTTACTATTGGTAGATATCGTTGATATGGTCACCATAGCCAATGAGGAGCAGCTTTGTCAGATTTGCTCCGCCTTTTTGTGTAAATTAGAACGTAACTCAAAGGCTATATAAAGCTCCTGAAAGCATGCGAGAGCTCTCTGTTACTAGAAAACTTTGTGGGAGTGAAGTTAAGTAGTTGACAAACGATGTCGAAGAAACCGTCGTACAAAGTTGGTGAGTCTAGGCGATAAAGAATGCTTAATATTCATTCATATTTTGGTATTGAGAGTGACACATAATTATATAAGGATACCATAACCTCACATGGCAGATGGCATGCCTTTGATGCATATTAGTTGCTGCGGAAGCCGAAAGAGCGTGCTGGAACTTGCATCCCTGTGGCGCTAATTTGAATTTAATGGTGAATTACAGCGGACATAAACCAAGCGGAATGGGGGCGGAAGGAGATTATGCTTGCAGAAGAAGAAATGCCAGGCCTTATGTCCTTGCGAAAGAAGTATGGAAATATGCAACCACTTAAAGGAGCTAGAATTGGAGGCTGCCTGCACATGACAGTCCAAACAGCAGTGCTGATAGAAACTCTATTAGAACTGGGAGCAGAGGTAAAAAAATAATTAATTTATATTTATTATTATAACCTAAGATTAATACATTTTTGGAACTTTTCAAGTTGAGAAATATTCATGAATACCAAGTTTCAGCTAGAATGCAGACATTTATAATGCCTGAAGACTACTGTCTTCTGGAATGTATTCCATGTAGTCTGATAGACTACACTGACATTTCAAATGAATGTACTGGTTCCATCATCAGGGTCAAAAGGGTAAACCAAGCAAGAAATCACCAAGAAGGGGCAGCAAGCAGTTTCTTTGCTTGGCTTACTCTTCAATCCACTAGATGGGAAGCAGTACACTCTTCTGAAGTGTTAGTTGACCTTTGCCAGATTACATGATGTTACGTCCCAGAAGTTAGTACTGTTCATAGTTAATACTGTGATAATCTCAAATCCAGCTTCCTAATGGCTGTTTCCATTTTCTCTAAAGTTGTTTCTCTATCACATAACCTAACATTCATAATTAATTTCAAGCTGGAACAATTTAGTATGCTTGAGCCTCTAATACGCGTTCATTAAAACCACATTTGTCACAGAATTTCTATTGTATTTATTCTTACTACAAGGTCGAGGGTTGAAGTCCCGATGAGGAAATTGGATTTTTTTTTTCAATTGACCTAATCCTTCCAGCCGCACTAGGCCCTGGGGTTTACTCAGCCTCTAACAGAAATGAGTACCAGGAATTAATTAAATGATTTTCCTGGGGAGTAAAGCGCGGCCAGCGCATAAGGCTGACAACCTTACCGCCATCTTTGAGCCGATTGTCAAGGTAATGTGGGACCCTTAACGTCTCACAACCCCGTGGGCCTTCACAGCCTGTTACAGGGATAGCTTTACTTTACTTTTTTTTACTTTACAACCAACATAAAGGAGGTCAATCCAAGTTAACCTGAACTGTTACCAGTTTGTTTACAGAAATGTAAAGACATAGCCAAATATGAAATGATAAACATATGTAACTTGCTAGTTAAACCATGGAGTCTGCTGGTAAATAGTGTAACTGGTACATTTAGGCATAATTAAACTGTCTTCCAGTCTAAACTTTCACACTTAACTGCAGTGTTGGCCTGTTCACAGTGATGTGTGGTAAAGACCAAAACCTTGGGATTCACAGGAACAGGGTTAAATGACCTAACCCTACAAAGTTCATGGTGATGATGTGTGGTAAAGCTTGGGATAATCTGGACAAGACATTCTATTATGACAGAGAAAATATCATTAATAAGATACTGTTTATTAAAATTGTTCTTTTTATGTTTAGGTGCAGTGGTCTAGCTGTAATATATTCAGTACACAAGATCATGCCGCTGCTGCAATTGCTAAACGAGGTGTTCCAGTTTATGCATGGAAAGGAGAGACAGATGAAGAGTACATCTGGTGTATTGAGCAGACGTTAGTTTTCAATGATGGACAGGTACATGTGAGGTAGAATCAGAAGTAGTCACAGGCTAAAGAAGCTGGGTTGTGATTATTGACTTCACTGTCAAGTTATAAATCCTCTGAATTAGTAATGAGGATAGAAAATGATTCTGGGCACAGTTATAAACATTAAGATATTTTGTGTTACATGAAAAGTAAACCTGTTAGCATGCAGTTTCTGTTGTTGAAATGCTATATAATTTAATGATTCAGTGGATGTGTTATAGAGAAGGTGTTAATGTTATATTACAGCCTCTAAATATGATTCTGGATGATGGTGGTGACTTGACAAGTTTGGTCCATGCAAAGTATCCACAGTACCTGGAGGGGATCAGGGGAATATCAGAGGAGACAACCACAGGAGTGCACAATCTATACAAGATGTTGAAGGAGGACAGACTAAAAGTTCCTGCCATTAATGTCAATGACTCTGTTACAAAGGTACATTTCTTTGTACATTGCATATTGATGTTGTAATAAGTGCTGAGGTTAGGTAAAACAGAGAACTGATGCAATAAGGTGGAAGATACATTCCAGCTAGGGGTTTTCGTATAGGGCTAAAAATCTCCTAGAATCTGATGGTTCCCTGTGAAATATACTTACGAGTACTCATGGAGCTGGGCCCTTCTGGAGAAGACACAAATTCTGCAGCTACTCAAGAATTTCCCAGCATTTTATGGAACCCGAAGGTTCATTGCCATGTTCACAAGAGCCCTCCACTGGTCCCTATCCTGAGCCAGATCAATCCAATCAATACCATCCTATCTCTCTAAGATCCATTTTGATATTGTTCACCCACCTACGCCTTGGTCTTCCCTGTGCTCTCTTTCCTTCTGTCTTTCCCACCAATATCCTATACGAATTCCTCGTCTCCCCCGTTCGTGCTACATGCCCTGTCCACTCATCCTCCTTGACGTGACCATTCTAATTATACTTGGAGAAGAGTACAAGTTATGAAGCTCCTCATTATGCAGTTTCCTCCAACCTCCTGTCACTTCATCTCTCTTCGGTCCAAATATTCTCCTCAAACACCCTCAGTCTATGTTCCTCACATAATATCAGAGACCAAGTTTCACACCCATACAGAACCACAGGCAAAATTACATTTTGTGTATTTTAATTTTTATGTTTTTGGACAGCAGACAAGACAAATGGTTCTGGACTGAATGGTAGCAAGCATTACCTGAGTTCAATCTCCTCTTAATTTCCTCCGGAATCAGGTTTTGATCTGTTATTGTTGTTCGCAAATATTTGAACTGTGCCACATTTTCAAAACATCTGTTATCTATTGTTATGTCATGATTTTGCCCTTCATTTTGGTGATGAGATGATGTTTACTTCTAGACGAACCTCTTTACTTGCATCAATTAAAGTTCATGTGTTTTTCTTTATGGTATCTACATTATCACCCAGTAGATTCACATCATCAGCATAGGCCAACAGCTGATGTGTCCCATTTAATTTCAGTCCCACCTGGTTTCCCTGGGCCTTCCTAATGGCATATTCTAAAGCAGAGTTGAAAAGGAGTGGTGATAAAGCATCTCCTTGTTTTAGATCATTCTGGAGGGGAAATTTATCAGACAAATGTTTACTTACATGGACTTTACTGTACGTTTCGTTTAAACACATTCTAATCAACCTAACTAGTTTCATGGGTATCCCAAACTCCAATCAGAATGTTGTACAATGTTTCCAAGTTTTCCAAAGCCGCAACCCTGTTTGAGATTTCAACACAAAACTGTTCTTTACCCTCTATCTCATTTAATTTCTTGAGATTGAACCTCTCCATATGAACTCTGTGTGTTGTTTGTTTGCTCACTGCCAGTCTTTCCCTAACCTTTGCCACCACCAGGTAGTGGTCAGTATCATTACCTGCTGCTCTGAATGATTGGACATCAAATATACTTTAGTGCCGTCTCCTGTCTATCAAAATATGGTCCATTTGATTGTGTATCTTCCCCTCAGGAGATGTCCGAGTAAATTTATGGATGCTACGATGTGGGAACATTGTACTTTTGACAGTAAGAGTTTTTGATGTGGCAAAGTTTACTAGTCTAACTCCATTATCATTACTAATTTCATGCAAACTCTCATTCCCAATCATTGGTTTGAAAATGTTTTCCCTCCCTACTTTGGCATTGAAATCTCCTAGTAGAATTTTCATAGGGTACTTCGGGAATTTATCAAATACGTGTTCTAGTTCTCCATAGAATCTGTGCTTTATGTCATCAATTTTATCTTCTGTTGGGGCGTGAACATTCATAACAATGATATCACACCAATGACCGTTTAGTATTATATATGATATCCTATCACTAACAAACTCTACCCTCTTAACTGCTGACACAGTTCTCTTATGTACGAAAAAACCTGTACCTAATTCATGATTTTCACATCTCTTTCCATAGAAAAATGTATAGTCTCCTGCTGTTGCGATGCCACCTCCATCCTATCTGACTTCCTGTGCTCCTGCTAAATCTATCTTATATTTTAAGATTTCTTCTGCCACTGCCTTGAGCAAACCTGCCCTATACAAACTTGAACATTCCAAGTGCCAAATCTCATATCCATTTTGTTTAGCTTAGGTCATTTACCCTGTGAAATATATGTGAAAAAATGGTTTGTAGGTATGGAATGTGGAGGGAACTAGTTAAGGATTATGTCCAGATGCAGGGTTTAGTATTATTTGTCATGTTGGACCTACAGGTTTTATCACTAGAGTTAGCTGTAAGGGTGCTAGTTGAGTATTAGCTTTGAGGAGCTGAGGAAAATTATTAACCCGTTGCCGTGGTTCGACGTGTATGTTTCGNGAGAGACACGGCAGCGGAATTTAAATCACCGCGCAAAAGGGTTAAATCTCATGATTATTTGAAAATCTGTTCTTAGCTCCTAGTGCAGGTGCTGATTGGTTAAATCTAAAATATTCTATGACATTTACAGAATAAAGTAAGCTGTAAAATACACTCAACTCTCGATTATCTGGGATAATGGTGGTGATGGAAATCACGATTAATTGAAAACCTGGTTAAGACAAATTTTATTAAAAGCAGTACTGTAAAACTGTACCTTCATAATGCTAGAGGCCTACCTGTATTTAAATTTATTCAACCTCATTTTTATGTCATCTCATGGCCTATTTAATACTTTTTTTACATTACACTGAAGTATGAATTAGTTATTTCAGTCACAGTGTTCAACAACATCCAACACTTTTTACGAATATTGACACTTAACACTTAAAAAAAATGTAATATTGTTGTTTGCTTTTTCACGGCATTTTCCTTTTTACGGATATCCATATGAAGCCTACGTAACGTTAGCTTGTCACTTAATAAATAAACACGCTTCCTGTTACACCCTGACATTTTGCTAATGCACTTGAAGATCGATACAAAGAGACTAACTGGGGCACTGTATCTGTCCTTCAGACTTTCCACAAAGCCTTGCATTCTTTCACCCATACCCTAGAACACTGTGTTAGCACAACGGGACCAAAAATGCAGAGCTCGGTTCACACTAGTGCGAAAATAGTGTTACAACTCACCATGTGAAACAAAAGTGAATGAATATTAAACAACATATAAGCCTCAAAAAATCCCCGGTTAAGCCACCCCCGGATAATCGAGAGTTGAGAGTAAATACAAAGCTGAAAACTGGCATTTGCCCAAGTAGGGGCAAGAATTTTCTATTCTCCAAGTCATCCAGACTGGTTCTGGGGCCCACCGAGCCTCCTATCTAATGGGTACTGGGGACTCTTTCCTGGGCGTAAAGTGTCCGCAGTATGAAGCTGGCCACTCACCTGCAACTAGTACTAAGGTCAAGAAAACATGGATCTATACATCCACTTCCCCATACATCTTCATGGTGTAATGCTTAGTTAGTTGAGCACAGGGACAACTTTCCCTTTACCTTTACACAATAGTGATGGTAGCTGAACAGACATAGTAATAGCCTGCTAGCTAGTAATATATCATTAAAGGAAAGCAGTGGCACGCACACAGAGAACCTGCACAAAATAACTCGCGAGTTGTGCTGAAAGGAAGAGGTAGCCGCTGCAGCACATATAAGCATAGAGCAGGTATCTTTGTGATTTTGATTTTAAATTTAAATTTAAATTTTAAATATTAAAGCTAAATTGAGAATTTAAAATTTTAAAGCAATCGACGTGTGAATATTAATAAAGATTTTAAACATAATTGACAAAATCAACAAGGGGAGTTCTGGAATATCGGGTGCCGATTGACGACAGTGCAATGAACAATTGTAAATCTGGAGTTTAAATGTTAATACTGAGTGCACTGTGACAGCTACGTGAAGTGAAATACACCTGATGATGGCCGGTTGCGGCCGAAACATGTAGTGTAAAAGAAGGGGGACAAGAACTACAGTATAGTGTTACATTTACGACGGAGATTATATTATACTTATAGAAATAATTTCTAAGTTTTAAACATGTTGTAAAAGCTTTTATGATTATTCAAGATGGCAAAAATAAATTCAGTTGGTAGTGTGGTTACCTGGTAGCAGAACAGATTTTTATACTTTTCCTTATTCTAGTTGTAACTACAAATGTCAAACAAGTGACATCTATACTGATAAGCTAGTTTAATACTTTCTCAGTTAGATGTTAACTAGTAAATAGTGCAGTGTATTTAATTTTTTCAGAGCAAGTTTGATAACCTGTATGGTTGCCGTGAATCCCTTATTGATGGCATAAGAAGAGCGACAGATATCATGCTGGCTGGTAAGGTGGCTGTAGTGGCAGGATATGGTGATGTTGGAAAAGGGTGTGCTCAGTCACTACGAGCATTTGGAGCCCGAGTTCTCATCACTGAGATTGACCCCATTGTTGCATTGCAGGCAGCAATGGAAGGTTATGAGGTATATAATTTATGTTATAACTAGTAAGTAAATATTGAACCTAACATTCTCATTGCCAAGCTCAGTAGTACAGTTTATACAAGAAATTCCAGTCTGTTTCATAAAAACTGAATAACAATATGACAGAGCGAGACAGAGAGAGGAATCTGTTTATATCGTCTCTTTGACATGTGAATTACAGACACAGAACACCATCATTTGTCACCAAGTCTAGATCATGGCAGGCCTAAAACTTGCCTCATTGGCTGAAGTCTGTTCAATAGCAGAGAAAGATACATGTATATTGAATTAAAGGTTAAAACGAGAAATTTGTGTTTTAAGCACATTCAGTAAAATTGTGCATAGACAAGTTTTGCTGAATAACAGACTGCTAGTAACACTGAATTATACAATGCAATGAGTTAATGCACCTATGAATGTATTAGTTCTTTTTGAAAAAGTTAAGAGAAATTTAAACTGCCAATGTTGCACCTCACAGACAAACCATTTATTGTGGTTATATACACAATCCCATGTATGAAGATGAGAACAGTTTTGTGCTACAGTTTTTGATTTGTCTTTCTATGCCTTGTTTACCCTTCCAGTTTTTATTCCCCCCTTACACATGAATGAAAATTCCATATTTTATTGCCTTTATCATCCTGGAACAGGGAATTTAAAATAATCTTGGTACAAGGGGCTGGTGGTCAGATTTTAACTCAAGGGTGATGATAACTACTGAAAATATGTAATGTTTGGCCAGCTGGACTATGTGCAGTGCATGACCAATAAAGGTTAATGTCACAACTTGAAAATTTTCCCCTTTCTTCTGGAAACTGAGAGGAGCAAGAAAGAACATATATCAAATGTCTCTTTAAGAAGGTAACATTCCCACTTCATATTCAGGAGGTCTTGGGTTCAAATTCTGGCCTGGAGAGTGCCTATCCAGAGGTGGTTTTTTTTTTTTTTTTGCATTTTGTTAGTCTGTCCACATAAATGCCAGGAGGGTACCATATTTACTCATATTTTACACACTGTTACTCAGACTATCACGTATGATGGTTGTGATGTGTAAAATTTGCGAATGTTATATTTCACAGTACAATTTGACATTTTTCACTTAAGAGATTACAGTTCAGTGTAATGTGGCAACATAGTATGGATACTGAAATCTGTGGAACTAACCATAGAATTCCTTGATGAACATTCAGACTAATATGCTTCTTTATAAAATTATGACCACTGCATAATTTTCACAGAAAACAAATTTCCCCTTACCGTGTTGCCATAATGCATTTGACTTAATCATATTTTCCACAGTAAGTCTGCATCTGTTGAAATTTTATCAAAGGTAAAAATATGGTAATTTTTCCCTCAAATTTATCTGACAGCTGAGGTGTGTAAGTAATGTGAGTAAATATCATACCTCAGATGATGCCATGGCTGTTTCCTGCCACATCCTTTCTAATTTCATTATTCATTAATCCTACCAAATAGTATGAGCTATAGGCCCTATTGTTAATCCTTTCACCAGGTGTGACACATTGTTCTGTCATGGTCCAATGATGATATAACGGTAGTGACACCACCGTGTACTCAATCATGTGTAGCTCCGAAGTATGATGAGCTAGAGCACAGGAACTTTTACCATTGTTAACAGTTTGAATTCTGTTGCCCAGATGGCACCAATATGCAAGAGAGACAGCAAAATATCTGCCATCTATCCAGTTTTTTGTCATTGCTTATGCTCAGGCAGCAGGTTGCAATCACTTTGTGTCTGTGAATTCCTCAGGTAAGGGGGAAATGCCTACTCTGTTGGGTCGCTTAGAAAGAGCTAACCTCAGTCACTGGATGATGTACAAAGTCCAAAAGCCCAGTAATTCTGAGTATTATACACCATTGTTAGGACCATTTAGAATCTACTTGATGTTTTAGGAACGGGTTCATTTTAGTCCTTATTGGTCAGTGCCTCTAAAACAGAGCACCCCCGGAGTCACAGAATGTTACTGTCCACCCTCCTGTCAGGTACAGTTTGCGCTTTTATAAGTAACCTGATGAGCGCCATAGACGCCAAGTAGTTTGAAGCATAAGTGTGAAAATAAGGGCGTTTTTCTGACTTCAATACATCAGAATCTGGCAGTATGATGAACATACAATGTAATATTAGTTGCATCATGAAGTATACAGAGTTACATGGCTAAAAAAAAAAAAAAGATACCCAGGTTAGGTTACACCATAACAGATGAAACTCTCCAGGCAAGTAGTAAAGAAGAAAAAAAGAACACACAGATTGAGGGGAATGGATTGGGTAAGCTCAAGTGCTTTGTAGTGGGGATGAAATAAATTCTGATATAGAACAGCTTAATTTGTGTGTGATGGATATAAACAGTACAAAAGGGAGTGGAGTGGTGCATATTGCTCTAGATGTAGTATGTCAACTTTGTACCTGGCCTGTATACCTTAGATGTTTTAGGGATTTTTCCAAGGGCTTAGTCCCAACTTTTCTTTGGAGTTGAATTCCCATGTAATAGTAGCCTGGGAAATATTTTCAAAGAAGAGCTATCAAATTTTAAAGTGATGTCTTTATAGAGAAATTGGATTTTTACAGGTAACAACGATGGAAGAGGCTTCTAAAGCGGGACAGATATTTGTTACTGCAACAGGCTGTTTGGATATAATCACAGGTGATCATTTCCTCAACATGCGAAATGATTCCATTGTTTGCAACATTGGTCACTTTGATTGTGAGATCAGTGTAGCCTGGCTAGAGAAGAATGCTGTGGAGAAGATTAACATCAAACCTCAGGTGCAGCCATGTTAAGATGCTATTTGTTAGTACTGTCTTGTTTCTTGAACTATAACATATCATTCTGTACTTGTGAGCTTTAACATCCTCAGGGTGTTGACTATGAAAAATACCATATTCTGAGATGTGATGGCATGCCTTCTTTTAGAAGTTTATCAGTGTTTTGGAGGAACATCTGTAAACATTTATCAGACCACACAACATCACATACCTCAAGATAGCAGCACTTTTTATTCTGCAGTTCTTTGGTAACCTTTGAACCAACAAAGTGACTAATATAGGATTCAGTATGAAAGTCATGCTACTCAGAGACATCTGATTCTTTGTATCTTTTTAATTCTTCACATCAAGAGTATACCAAAATGACCACAAAAATTGGATATTGGCATGTTCCAGTAATGTCCTCATGGCAAGATACACCTACTTTCATGAAACCTAAAGAAGTTGCAATTTAAGGATGCATGTATACCCACAGCCCCACAGGGTCCACTCAGCCTTGCGAGGATAATTGAGGAGCTACTTCAAGGAAATAGCAGCTCTGATCTAGAAAACCGAAATTAATGGCCGTGGGGATTCGTTGTGCTGACCACGCGACACCCTCTATCTTCTAAACGTGGCACTAACTTTGCCGAAAGTGGCAGTCGCTCAGTCGGTATAGTTTGCTTGTGGACTAAAACCGCCGAGTTTGTTTTTGTATACCCACAGTGCTGAGGTGTGAAGCTGACCACTCACCTCTAACTAGTGCCAAGGTCAAGAAAATGTGGATCTATACATCCACTCCCCCATATGTCTTCATGGCATAGTGCTTAATTAGTTAAGCACAGGGACTTTACGTTTTTACCTTTTACCTTTGTATACCCAGAGTGATGTGATTATATATTTCTGAAGTACATAAGAAAATTATGGTCATCTTTGTGTGTAGAAATTTGGTAAAAAATACAAGAGTCTTCCAGTTGATGTATTCATCTTTGGGGGTGTGTTCATTGAGTGTATTTTTTCTTAGTTGTGTATTTGTTGATTTTGTATCATGTTTCTACATTTAACAGAATTTAGGATACATTATTACAGCAGATTGGTAATCCTGTCATTAATACATTTGAATTCCAGGTAGATCGGTACAAATTGTCCAATGGGAACCACATAATTGTGCTGGCTGAGGGCCGACTGGTGAATCTTGGTTGTGCGATGGGTCACCCATCCTTTGTGATGAGCAACTCCTTTACAAACCAGGTGCTGGCACAGATAGAACTGTGGACCAAGCCAGAGCATTACAAAGTTGGAGTTCACATGCTGCCAAAAAAGGTAGAGTTTAGTATACTACATCTCAGAAACTGATTATCTATAATATGTTCATACATTTTTTGAAGTAATGTCCTTACTTTTATATGACCATGTGCTGTGTAGTTAGTTGGCCTGTGAACAGATGGAAGCATTTACAGAAGCAATTGTTACTATAGCTCCACAATGCTTTAAGTTTTGTAACTCTGTCAACATTTTTACTGACAACTGCTTGTGTTGCAGCTGGATGAAGAGGTGGCAGCCCTACACTTAGATCACTTAGGAGTGAAGCTGACCAGATTGACCCAGAAACAAGCCAACTACCTTGGAATTCCTCAAGAAGGCCCATATAAGCCTAATCATTACCGTTACTAGTGGAGTCATCTTGCCAAGTTTCAAGATACCATTCCCACACAAAGAATGCTTTTTATATGGTAAAGATACTTATGTATCATCTAGTTTTATTGTATTTTTATTCTATTCTGCATAATAAACTCTTAAAAGACTGTGCCAGTAACAGAACTGATGCATTTTTGTAACTAAAGTTACTTATGTCTCAATTTTATTGTATTTTTATTCTGTTCTGCATAATAAACTCTTAAACGACTCTGCCCGTAAGAGAACTGATGCATTTTTGTAACATTAAACCATCTTGAAATTATGAGGGTTGTACTGAAAGTCATGAGCAACAATTTTTTGTGGAGAATATGCTTTATTATTGACAAACCAAATACACCACCTCAATCTACAGACCTTTCTTTATTTTTCCACATAATCGCCACTTCTTTGTACATATTTCTCCCAGTGTTCTGAGAATTTGAAAATTCCATTCTAGCCATCCGAAGACACTGACACACTGCTTTCTGAATTGCCTCCCTTGTCTCAAAACGTTGTCCACGCAGCTGATCCTTCACAAATCCGAAAAGATGGTAGTTGGAGGGTGCCAGATCAAGGCTATAGGAGGGATGTGGAAGATCTTCCCACCCCATCTTTGCAATGGCTTCTGATGTGAGGCGAGCGGTGTCATGCAGGATGATGATGATTTGTCCTGGACATTTATCGCGCAATGCACGACGGAGCTTGTGCAGCATCTGGAAATAACGAGCAGCATTCATGGTTTGCCCAGGTTCCAGGAATTCGGCCAGAATAAACCCCTCTGCATCCCAGAAGACTGTGCCCATCACCTTCGCAGCTGATGGCACTGTCTTTGCCTTCTTTTTTGATGGAGAATGCAAATGGTGCCATTCCATACTCTGCTGTTTCGTTTCAGGCTCGAGATGGTGAAACCAGCTTTCGTCACCTGTCTCAATACAGAGCAAAAAATCATCGCCTTTGTGTTGATATCTCCACAGCAGTTCTGAGGTGATGGGCTTTTCACTGACCTTTGTGGTCTTTGGTCAATAACCGCGGGACCCAATGAGCACAAACCTTCCTATAGCCCAAGCTCTCAGTCATCTCCTGTACTGCACTGTGCCCTATTCCAAGTTTTTGGGCTGTTTTATCCACAGTCACACACCTGTCATCTTGAATGATCTCATCCACTCTTTCCTTGTTGTGTTCCGTTGAGGCTGTTAGAGGACGACCGCTCCGAGGCTCATCTTCGATGCTGGTGTTCCCATCTTTAACACATTGCGGACCGGTGGCATATTATTATGACTTTAGGACATGTTATGTTGAAACACACTATACCTTGCACTGGCGCCAGGCAGACGCATGACTGGTGCGTGACAGACCTCTTGAATGTTTGCTTCGTAGTCAGTAACATGACCCCGCTGTTTATTACCCAACTCTTTTCCTTTCTCACTCCAAAAGAAAATGCCTTTGTTCATCTTCCAGCTGCATGCACCGGGCAGGAAGTTACTAGTACAAAATGGATCAAAGTCAGAAGAGGTTGAGGTCCAAGCATTTTCCCGGAGAACAAGAAATATCTGACTTGTTCTGTGATGAGCTATCTGATGTCCCTTGTGAGTCTGCTAGTGATAGTGACTCACAATCTGATAGTGAGTGTGACAGGGGCAAACAAAAAATTGTGGCCACAGACAGTGAAAGTGACAGTAGCTCTGATGAAAGTGCGGGTAGCAACATTGTGGGGAGAGCCACATGGGGAAAAGTAGACAAAACGCCTGCTTTGGGACAGTTTACTGGAAATCCAGGGGTGAAGCAAATTCCATCGGACCCAACACAAGTGTCTGAAGTATTAAATATGACAGGAACGGAATAGAATGAATGTTTTTAGTTGTAAATTGAATCGTTCTAATCGTACTGCTGAATAACATCGTTTTGCTTTGCTCATATTTTCTTGTATATGTGACTGAGAATGACAGTATTTTGAGAACATGAGTTTCACGATTTGGCCTATTATTCTCTTCCTCGGAAAACAGTAAATTGGACAAAGAAAGTTGCTTTGTGCAGTGCTTGAGGTGAAATGAAAATAGAACCGGGATGCCATCCCGCCACATCCCACCCCACCTCAAGCCCTGGGTATTGTACATTCCATTTACTGCCAAAGAAGTAACGGGATGCTTTTAAGCCATTTAGAAAAGAACGGGGATGCCATCCCGCCGCATCCCGCCCCACCTCAAGCCCTGGCCTTGTGGCTTATAAATTGTGCCATTTTCAATTCATTTTTGGTTTTCAAAAATCTAAACCCTCATTCAAAATTGAAATACAAGGCATTTCTGCTGAATGTGGCAAAAGCCTGGGCTACAGACCACACGGTGGCGGCAGAACGGGCAGCAGACACAGTCTTAGTATGACCGGGGCCATCTACTACCACCCCACGCAGGCCTCATTTTGACCCCCCTGGGCGACTCTCGGGTGATATGCGGAAACATACCCTTGTGAAAATTGTGAAGAGTGAACATGCCAAAGGGATGCAGTGTTTGCACAGTACACGACAAAAGGAGTATGACTGTCTACATGTGCAAGTTCTGTGTAATGCCACTTTACAAAGGGGAATGTTTCCAGAAATATCACACTCTCAAGCACTTCTAAGGAGCATTGGTAAGTGTTCTCCAAAAATTTTAGTTCATAAAATTAATTAGGAGATTTTATATTAATTTTTAAAGTGAACAGCGCACAAGTTAAGGTAGTAGGTTTAAAAATGCCGGTCCCCAGGGTGATTTAAATATTTAAATTGCCAGTCCGCAAAGTGTTAAAATGTTTCGCCCATCTTCGAACACTGCTCGCACCCATGCACACACTTCCATAAGCACGCTGAAGTCTCTGGTGAATTTCTGCAGCAGGGATTTCCTCTTTCACAAGAAATTTGATGACAGCACGTTGGCGAAACGACATATCGTTGTCGGCCATTTTGTTAGGAGTGATACTGGTCACGTGATGCAAGCTATTGACGTCACAAGACACTCTAGGTTAGCGTTGGCCAACCTAATACATCTCAAGGGCCAAATTTAGTTTATAGAACACCATCAGGGGCCAGATACAGTGTTTCTTTCAGAAGAGTGGTCGGGGAGTATTGCCCCCCAAACTGAATCAGTCACAACCCGTGTAAAAACAAGAGCATTTAAACCTATGTATTTAAATTTTACGTTGCACCAATAATATTAAGCCAATATTGAAAATTTCACCAATCGATTTTATTGCCTTCTATCACTTCTACCCCCAGAGCGTTTTTTCTTAAAGAAACACTGGCCAGATCACGCCTTATGTTTAGTTTTATATATGCCAGAGAAAAATGTAATTATAATTTAAGAAAGAAAAATAAAATGCCTTGAAATTTGCAATTACTTGCCATAAAACAGCACAAATTCCTCTTTCAGCAGGGATGAGCACAAAAGACTTTCAATCATAGTTTTATGGTCTAATGATTATACCTAAATCCTCATATACACACTGTTTTAATGAGAGCACTGTGGTTTCATAAAACTGGAAACCAATGATATAAAATCCACTTCTAATTGTGAGGTTGCCACTCGAAGAATATGTGATAACACGACATCTGAAAGTCTGTTCCTGTTCTTAGACTTTACATGCTTCAGCGATGAAAACGCTGTCTCGCATATGTAAGTACTTGCAAAAACAGAGCAAAGTTTGAGAGCCCAATTTCGTAACAGTGGGTAACGTTCTGGTGAAAGCAGTTTCCAAAAGTCAATTCCAGTAACCTGAGATGTGTTTAAGGATGGGTCACATTGAAGTTCACAAAGCTCTAATTGCAGATGACCTGGCTGAGATTCTATATCACAATGTATAGGATTACTGAATAAAGAAATATCAGGTCGAAAGCTTTCAAAATCGTTAAATCGTCGGTCGAACTCTGAAGACAAATCTTCAATAATTTCAGTGTAGTCCCTAAACTCCAAGCCTTCTTCTTCTTCTGAGAGTTTCCGACAGCAAGGGAAATGTAGAAGGTTATTTTTGTCCAATGCAGACTTAAATAAATGTAGCTTTTTATGGAAACTGTCAACAAAGCCAACCATCTGACATATTGTCTGCTTCTTGCCTTGCAATTGCAGATTCAGAACATTCAAGTGTTGAGTGATATTGGTGAGAAAGGCCAAGTTTCTCAATAATTCAACGTCTTCGAAATCCTTCTGTAGTTCAGCAGAATTTGCAACCTCTTCTCTTAGGAATGTTGCTATTTCATGACGGAGTTCAAGAATCGTACCAGACATTTTCCACGGCTTAACCATCTTACTTCAGTGTGCAGAAGCAGGTCCCCGTAAGCAGAATCCATTTCTTCCAAGAGGGTCAGAAATTTTCTGTGAGTTAGTGATCGATTTCCTCCTCTGATCAAATTAGTAATTTTTGTGACAGTAGGTGGTGGGTAGGTAGGCAGTTTAATTGATTTGGCACATAGAGCCTCCTGATGTATAATACAATGCAAGGTAGGTACAGTAATTTGATTCTGTCTTAAAAATCCAACAAAACCGCTTATTGTCCCTGTCATTGATTTAGCGCCATCTGTTACTATGGAGGACAATTTTTCAAAACCACCGAATTCCTCCACTGCACTCTTAACAGCGTTAAAAATATCGACACCTCTAGTTGTGCTGTGTAAAGAGCACACTTTTAACAACTCTTCGAAAATTGTAAAATCTTCCTTAATTGCATGAACAAAATATCAGTAACTGATTAGTATCTGAAACATCTATGCTTTCGTCGAGAGCAATTGCGGAATAGGAACAATTAGCGATAATGTCTTTCACATTATTAGATATCTGGTTGCTAATATCTTCCAGCCTCCTAGTAACAGTCTGTTTTGAAAGGGGCACTGTTTGAAATTTGTTTCCTACCTTATTTTCATTGAAAGCTTCTGCCATCTTTATCGCACAGTTCTTAATTAATTCACCATCACTTAACGCTTTTTTAGCTTTCATTAATTCATATGTCACGAAATAAGAAGCCAGCAAAGCTTCTTCTTGTTGTTTTGTTTCATTGGTAAAAAGAGATTTCTGCTGGAAAAGTTTTTTCTTTAACTGATCGCAGACTACTTTCCTTGATTCACAAGAGTGTTTTCCGAACTTCTGTTTATGATTTGTCGTGTAATGCCTCTTTAGGTTGTACTCCTTTAAAACTGCTAGCACTTGAAAACATACTAAACACTGTTGCTTGTGGTCTTTATTTAATATAAAAAAATAGTCATGTTCCCACTCAGATTTGAATGCCCTGTTTTCACTATCAACTTTTCTCAATATACTATTTGACATGCTGTATCACTTACAATAACTGCAAACACAATTTTAATTGAAAAACAATTCTACACTCACACTCCGTAATCACTCTTCACTTTCTAAAATCGCACTAACTGGGAGACATTTCTGCTAAAACTGGCACTTAACAAAGGCCAGGATGCTGAGAGAAACGGTAAACATCCCATCCCCACGAGCAAGCATGGAATGGTTACTATTTTGAAGGTGTCATAAATCCTTCACCACTACAGTCTTCCCTTCAGTGTCATCTCCCTACAGAAGTAGGGTTGGGGAACTTGGAATTTCCATGACATGAACACAGTTATTAGAAAACAGTTCGAACTGTCCAACTTGGTAAGAATGTATACAGTCAATTGCAAAATGCTGTAAGCTAATGAAACATCCTATTAAAAACTGAATTCTATGCCATTACAGCTGTGAAGTTAAGATTTTTGAAAATAAACCTGAGACTTGGCAGGGGTCCAGTGTAAATCAAGTCGCGGGCCGGATGCAGCCCACGGGCCGCCAGTTGGCCATTGCTGCTCTAGGTTAACACAACAGCTCGTTCCACTTACCACCGTATTCTCTTTCGCCTGCTGTTCCCAGGTTGCGTGCAAAAAAAGTTGCTCATGACTTTCGGTATAACCTTCATAATTTATCTGTCTTCAAGGGGTCAGTAAACCCTCTTATTTACATACCTGTGCTGAGTGGAAAAATCTTTGAATTTATTCATTAACATTTTCCACCGCTGTCTTAGGTAGGTTACAGAAAAGTCCATGTATGTAAATGGTCTGATACTTATTTTTTATGATAGACATTATCTTCAGCTGTTGCACTCTGTAGCATATAATTAAAATCAGGATTGATTTCCATCAAGAAATCTTGGTACATGTAATACACATAAAGAATCTCCTTTGAAGTGTTGGTCATCTTCTGATGATGGTTATCACTGGCCAAAACATCTAAAGGCTCTATTTTATTATTAAAAACACTGTTGCACTTGAAGGAAATTGATCCCAATTTTGCTTATATTGGTCTTATGTTTCCTGTCCAAAATGATCTTTTGCTTTTGTTTGAGGTCAACAGTCTCGCTACAGATACCATAAAGTTACCTCTTCCAATTATCCTGTCATACTACCATGTAACCAAGGAACCAAACATTAACACAATATGATCAGAGTATCTAACAGGAAAGCCTGTAATCCCACACTGAAGCACACACATACTTCAGCACTCATACCATAAATAATTAGCTGCTGTTAATAGTCACTACTTGGTGGCTTCCTGATTGAAAATGCACGGGTAGTTACTGTAGACAGAATAAATCATATACAGAAAATCATTCGGCAAGTCAAATGTACTTCAAATTGTGTTTAATTTATGGATACCTGGTATTATAAACACACAACTTACTAGGCAAATGAATGCAAATAACAAATAAAAATCATACGACAGGAATAAAACTGTGGTCTCTTAAGTACACATGAAATACAACAAATTACAAGACCAGTATATGAAAGACGTATCCTCACTTAATACAATATTTTGTGGTACACAGGCTTCCACACCTGAGTTGAAATGACAATTCAGGTTCCATGCTACATACACTGTGAAATACCCAGTCTTGTCAATCTAATGGAAAGCAGACATCACTTTCCTGCTGTTATAGTCTGCAGTTCTTGAAGCTTCTGCCGCAGCTCCTCAAGCTCACGATCCTGCTTCTTTATTACTGCAAGCAGGTGTTGAATTGTCTTATTTTTACTGTCTACACATTCAGCAATGTCATTTGTTTCCTTTATTAGTGGCACAAGCATCAACTGAAGCTCATCGGCAGATGGTCGATCTGCAGGCGAAGAAGACACAAGACGACCAATCAACTGGGCCTGATGAAACAAACAATGTTCACTTTATTTATTTATTTACCCATCAACATAAAATGGAGTGAGAATGTATTCATCTCAGAAGGGTTTCATTCAAATTTTATTCTGACTTGGGGTTTTCCAGTTCAACGTGAATGTCACGAAGTATCATTAACATTCCAACGCTACTATGCCAACTGTAATGTTTATTGCCACTTGGACCAGTTACTGTCCCACCATAAGCACTTATGCTCTTAAGGTCAGTTCTTTGTCCACTCACTATGACCACAATGCCACTGCTCACTCATTTTACTCACCACTACTTTTCTCATCTCATCACTAAACTGAACTGAAAACTGACTCATGACTCACATCACACATTACTTAACGATGCTTCTGCACTGAACTGTTCTGGAGCTCTCTCAAAGAATTTCACAGTTAGTTCATAAGTGTAGTCACTTTTTGGGAACTCTGAAGTGACATCTTGGTGACATCAGCCTTCAGTGTCAGAGGAGCAAATGTACCAGAAGGTGTGACGAGGGTGTCTCAATATTTGAAACGAATGCGAGGTGTGCATACCAGGCAACGCAACCCTCCCCTCACTCAACTCAACGTGGCACAATGTTACGAGGGTGAGTCAAATGAAAATCGTAAATTTTTTTTTATATTTAATTTATTGAATGAAAGCGGTACACAACTATGTCATTTTTCTACATAGTCTCCATTTCATTCAATACAGACCCTCCAGCATTTACAAAGTGTATGGATTCCTCTAGAAAAAAATTCTTGTGGTTGTCTGCACAACCACTCATGCACCGCCTGCTGTACCTTTTCATCAGAACGGAACTTCTTCCCTCCGATCACCTCTTTGAGTGGCCCAAACGTGGTAATCACTTTGGGGCTAGGTCTGGTGAGTATGGCAGATGTGGAAGACACTCAAAGTGAAAGTCTTGGATTGTTGCAACTGTTGCACGGGCAATATGGAGCCGAGCATTGTCATGTTGCAAAAGGACATCTCTAGTCAAAATTCCACATCCCTCTGATCTAACTGCAGGTCGAAGATGATTCTTCAAGAGATCTGAATATAAGGCACTGGTGATAGTGTTCCCCCAAGGCGTGTAGTGCTCCAAGAGTATGCCTCGTTCATCCCAAAAGAGAGTCAGCATAATCTTCCCTGCAGATGGCTGTGTCCAGAACTTCTTGGGTTTGGGTGATGAGGAACGATGCCATTCCTTGCTCGTTCTCTTTGTTTCCAGTTGGTGGTAGTGCACGCAATTACAGAATGTTGTTGTTCTTTCGTGCATGTACATATTGGAGCAGCCATCTTCAAACCGGCAATGTGATGGCGTTCTGTTCTTCTGCATTATACTGACACCTATAGGATACTCTTTATAGCATTGGTAACATGTCTGCTAACTTATAGGACAATGGTGCGATATTTCGAATTTTCATCTCAGTTTTAGGTTTTCATTTGACTCACCTACGTAAATTCACATACAAAATGATTCAAAAGTCGTGCATTCAGACATACTAGAGAAACTAATGACTCTCAATACATATTGCCACGTGAAATGACAACACTGTGGGATACAGTAGGAAACTGATTTATATGACACTAGTTCCTCTCATCTTTAACTGTCTACAAATACAAAGTTAATAGAAAGTCCGTCGAGTGTAACAATTTGTAGGTCACTTCTTTATCACTTCTGCCTTACATGTTTCGGTTTGACACAACCATCAGCAGAGGCACTTACTACAATTATGAAAACACTGTCGTTGTTTATGATGTTCACAGTTATGTTTGTTGTGTGGACGCTGCTACAATATGTTCACGTGTAAAAGCACAACACTTGCTAGGATAGTTGAGTACACTATCAATTCTCACTTTCCATCCGAAACTGTTTTTAAGTTAAAACGCTAATGTTAAAATATTTAAAACATTTGATGTAAAATGCTAAGCTCCTCCTTGTTAATTCATCCCGAAGATGGGAGATGTCAGCTTGAGGTTGTATGGCTGCAAAGATATTGTATTACATTAGGTTTTATATATTATTATATATTTTTTTGTTTAGTGTTGTATTTGATCCTTGCTTACCTTATGGTTAGATGTTTCCTATGTGCTGTGTGTTGTGTACTGCAGTGGGAATTCCTACGCTGGTGTTATTTAAAGCCTTGTGTGTTATGACGTGGTCGGGGGTGTGTTTATACAAGTAGTAATGAGGTCAAACATGCTGTTCTGGTTATTGATCTCTTTTGCCTGTTTCTGCTCGTCTATTAATTTATTATCCTTATAGTGGCGGTAAATTTGGTATTCTTCCTTTATATTCATTAATTTACCTTTCTTTGCTACTTCGATCAGTTCCATGACTTGCGAAATTGGGCCGTATTGATGTTGTCTATTTAGGATATGTTGAGCATAGGCGGAGTCATTTTTATTGAATCTTATACTTCTTATATGTTCATTATAGCGTGTTACTAATTTTCTGCCTGTTTGACCTATATACACTTGTTGGCACTCCTGGCAAGTCAACTTGTATATGCCACTTTGTTCGTAAGAATTTATGTTTTGTTTGTGGTTTAGTATTTTGCCTAATGTATGATTTACTTTAAAAGCTATTCTTACGTTCGTATTTTTAAATAGTTTCGTAATTCTTCTTGTGTAGCTTCCGTTATATGTGTAGGATACCCATTTCTGTTCTCTTCTTTCAATGGGAGCACTTGTTTTTTGTTGTTGAAGTTTATGATACATTCGTGTAATGAGTTATTTATTGTATCCATTGTTTTCCGCAATGTTAATAATTGTATTTAATTCTTTATTTTTTGCTGTGTTATCCATAGGTAGGATGGTTAATCTATGTAGCCAATTTTTGTTCTTTGGGATGACAAGATTTATTGTTTATCGTTGTGTCTGTTGTGGGTTTTCTAAATATCTCCATTCTTACTTGCCCATGGTTGTTAATTAGTTTTAAGTCTAGGTACGTTATTTGATTATTTTCCTCTTCATTTAGTGTGAATTGCAAGTTTTTATTTTGCTTGTTAAATTGATCTAAAATGTGTTGGGGTGTTATGTTGAACATATGGTTCAATCAAACGTGTAAAAGCAAAAACATTACTCCGAATTACGCTAAGTAAAAAGTAAGAGGCTCAATACAAGCTGCAAAGCTAACCCCAAAACAATTAACAAAACTAAGAATAAATAACGAACTAAAATTCCTATATGTCAAAAAACAACAAATTAATAATAAATTATATGAAATTCACTTAAAAATGCTCAGTTTTGGCAATCCAACTGGCAACTACTAGAAAACAACATAAACAGAACGCTAAATGAAGAGACGAAAGAACACTATGCCAAACTTAAAAAGAAAAATAAACAAACAAACTCTTAATGATACACAACCACATAAAAAACAAACTTTCTACCCACGCACACATAACTTGACAAATATACAATTCACCAAAAATGAGGAGGACATATTAAACGAAGGTATTAAATACAATATAGAAATACCACCTAAAATGTGCGTAAAACAAATTGTTTATGAAACAGAAAATGCAATACGACAAATAAAAGACAGCAAACAACAAGAAGCAATCAGATACTTAGCAACAAACAACCTAAAACAAATCTTAGCTAATCAAAAAACAAATAATAAACAAAATAAGGAACAACTATACACTACCAAACAAATAAAACAAAAACTAACACAAAATCACGCAACTATAGCCGAAGCAGACAAAGGAAAAACATTAGTAATTATTTACAAAAAAGACATAGATAATAAAGTTAAACAATTTATCGATAATAATAATATTATCGAACTAAAAACAAATCCTACATCGAAGTTCCAGAAATTAATGGAAAACACATTAAAAGCATGTAAGAATGTAATAAAACCAGAAACTAGAAAACACACACACCAAATGAACCCACAAGCGCCTAAATTGAATGCAAAAATAAAAATACATAAACCAGAAGCACCAATAAGGCCAATAATAAATAATACCAACGCCCCCACACACAAACTAGCTAAACATATGCACCAACAACTACAAACATTATTAAACTTAAAATATGAATATAACATCACTAACACCTTAAACTTCGCAAATAATATTAGCAAACTAAAACTAAACCCAGAACACAAACTGCTCACAATGGATATTAAAGATCTATACGCAAACATTCCAATAAACGATGTAATCCACATAACCAAAAATTCACTTAACCAAAATCATATAGACAAAATTAGCAAAGATGAAATTATCACAATCCTCCAAATGATATTGAATCAAAATTACTTCCAATACAATGATAAATTTTATAAACCAAACTCGGGTGTAGCCATGGGCTCCCCCTTATCAAGCTTAATGGCGGAAGTATTTTTACAACATTTCGAACAAAGAAAAGTAAAACTTCTACTAGAAGAAAACTTCTACTAGAAGATAAACGCATCATCTACTATAACAGATACGTAGACGATATAATTATGATTTATAACCGATCAAAAATAACACCCCAACACATTTTAGATCAATTTAACAAGCAAAATAAAAACTTGCAATTCACACTAAATGAAGAGGAAAATAATCAAATAACGTACCTAGACTTAAAACTAATTAACAACCAGGGGCAAGTAAGAATGGAGATATTTAGAAAACCCACAACGACAGACACAACGGTAAACAATAAATCTTGTCATCCCAAAGAACAAAAATTGGCAACATACAAAAATTGGCTACATAGATTAACCATCCTACCTATGGATAACACAGCAAAAAATAAAGAATTAAACACAATTATTAACATCGCGGAAAACAATGGATACAATAAAGAACTCATTACACGAATGTATCATAAACTTCAACAACAAAAAACAAGTGCTCCCATTGAAAGAAGAGAACAGAAATGGGTATCCTACACATATAACGGAAGCTACACAAGAAGAATTACGAAACTATTTAAAAATACGAACGTAAGAATAGCTTTTAAAGTAAATCATACATTAGGCAAAATACTAAACCACAAACAAAACATAAATTCTTACGAACAAAGTGGCATATACAAGTTGACTTGCCAGGAGTGCCAACAAGTGTATATAGGTCAAACAGGCAGAAAATTAGTAACACGCTATAATGAACATATAAGAAGTATAAGATTCAATAAAAATGACTCCGCCTATGCTCAACATATCCTAAATAGACAACATCAATACGGCCCAATTTCGCAAGTCATGGAACTGATCGAAGTAGCAAAGAAAGGTAAATTAATGAATATAAAGGAAGAATACCAAATTTACCGCCACTATAAGGATAATAAATTAATAGATGAGCAGAAACAGGCAAAAGAGATCAATAACCAGAACAGCATGTTTGACCTCATTACTACTTGTATAAACACACCCCCGACCACGTCATAACACACAAGGCTTTAAATAACACCAACGTAGAAGTCCCACTGCACTACACAACACACAGCACATAGGAAACATCTGACCATAAGGTAAGCAAGGATCAAACACAACACTAAACAAAAAAATATGTAATAATATATAAAACCTAATGTAATACAATATCTTTGCAGCCATACAACCTCAAGCTGACATCTCCCATCTTCGGGATGAATTAACAAGGAGGAGCTTAGCATTTTACATCAAATGTTTTAAATATTTTAAATATTTTAACATTAGCGTTTTAACTTAAAAACAGTTTCGGATGGAAAGTGAGAATTGATAGTGTACTCAACTATCCTAGCAAGTGTTGTGCTTTTACACGTGAACATATTGTAGCAGCGTCCACACAACAAACATAACTGTGAACATCATAAACGACAGTGTTTTCATAATTGTAGTAAGTGCCTCTGCTGATGGTTGTGTCACACCGAAACATGTAAGGCAGAAGTGATAAAGAAGTGACCTACAAATTGTTACACTCGACGGACTTTCTATTAACTTTGTGATTGATAGTGTAACGGACTAAAAATGAAACAATTAAAAAAAAATGTCTACAAATAGTTACAGGTGTTTACAGTCTGCCATTCCATTTGCTGTCTTTTGTTGTTTTCTTCCCGACATCACCTTCTTGTGTCCTGTTTGTCTTAGCTCCTTGTCGTACTGTGGCAAGAGGTTGGCTAAGAGCGGGCAAAAACAGTGACTCCTCTGGCATGTTTCCACACACTCTCAAAGTGGACCACCTAGGCAATGCTGTTCTCAACAGTACCTTGACTGTTGTGGCTGGTGAGGATTTGTGCTACTGCCACCTAGTAAAATGATAACCCTGTGATATTTCTGCAGTTCCAGCATTCCACAGTTTATGGATTTTGAACATCCAGCCACAATACTGTCACATGTTAAGAGTGACTCTCGACATGGTTTTGGATTTATCGACCACTTTAACACACAACTCATAATACACCTAATAGCGCCATCGCTGATCTCCACACTTTACAAATCACTAGAGCATACACACTAATGTTCTCAGTCTGTTACACAGTCTCCACTAGTTGTTTCCTGATAACAGCTTCTAACAGTGGCCATTCCTCTGCTTCTGTGCTCAAGTCCTCTCTGAATGCCGGCTCCCTTCCAAATGAACTATTCTTCAAAGTCAAAGTCAAAATCACATTGTGACTGATGATCAGTCAGTCAGTAAGTCTTGGTGTCAAATATTCATTACTGTTTGACAGTTATGGTCTTTTTTTTTGTGGGGCACCCTCTCTGACGAGAGGATGGATCTTGTCTTTTGTATATGCTGCTGGTCCTTGCCAGCACAGTCTTTCTCGGGTCTGAGTCCCTTGGGACTTGCTACCACATTTTATGGTCTCAGATTTGAGACTTCCCTTTCGGTCCCCTCCTACGACTCACAGGGTCATGGTGGAGATATCCGATCCCGCCTCACATGGGGGGAACTATTCTTCCTTCAGATGTCCTCTTTATAACACATTTGCATAGACTGAGTAGAAAACACCGTTTCCAACAGTACCTCTATTGTTACATGCACATGCACTGCCATGGGAACATGTTTAACGAGATGTTCCCTAGAGACGGCTCTCTACATGCTACAGTACTATTTTATATTCACTATACAAACATTATGTTGGACATGATCCATTGTCCCCCGTACTTGTATGTCAGGTATAAGACTTCTGGGGACTGAACCTATACTCATCTTCAGGTGACATTGTACTGATAGGTTTGTTACTACTTTTTGAGTTTGCTATTAAGTAAAAGTAAGTAAGTAAGTAAAGGTATCCCTGTAACAGTCTGTGGAGGCCCACAGGGTTGTGAGATGTTGAGGCTCCACACAGATGGCGATGAGGTTGTCAGCCTTATGTGCCGGCTGCCCTTTACCCACGGGAATATTCCTGGTACTCATTTCTGTTAGAGGCTTTTAGTAAAAGCAACACAGCACGCGACAAACAACACGGACAACACCAAGAATATCTTCCTCAAGGGGAACAGGCGGCACAAGTTCGACCACCGACAAGATAGACGATAGCACACGAACATGATCAGTTCATAAATTTTAACCAAAAAGGCAATATTCTTAAAAATTTTTAAAATTTTAACATATCAAGAAGAATGCTGTAGTTGTGAAAGGCTGAAATCTGTGTATATTGTGTATGACAAGCATTGTATATATATATATATTGTGATGTGTTGCACTATGGAGGATGCCCCCTCCCTCCCCCAGCAGTGATGTAGCTCTGGCCACGGTGACATAGCAGGTGAGTCAGCACTCCCCCCCCTGGGCTACGTGGCACCGCTTCCTACTGTGACGAGGCACTGAACGCCGCTGTTGATAGAGGTAACAGGCAACAGCGAACGGAATAAAAAGCCGGCTGAGCAGTAAGCGCTAGTGTGTGAGCCGGAGCAACACAGTTGGAATCTAGCAGTGGTAGCAGAAAGAAGAACCGGACGGGTATGATAATCAGTGATGGTTTGTGATAACTGAGCAGTAATTGGGAGTGTGTAATACAGTGACATTCATATAGCTCCCGTGCTGTGAATACGTGTAGACTACTGAAGATAGAGTGAACAGATATTGCGAATAGGGTTATAAAGTGTGAAACCCCGCAACAGTATTATAATCAATTGTAGTTACGATCTGTAGGTTGTTAAATAAACCAATTAACAATCCGAACGGCGTCTTCAGCAGCGAAACATGTTACAATATGTTAAACGCTAAAAACACCCATTGTGATGGTAGTTTCCCAAATGTATTTGATGTACCTCTGATGATGGTTCTGTGAGAACTTAAACATTTAAGTTTATTGGATAGTGAAGTGATAAAGTCTTCATTGGTCACACTGGACGGAGTTGTTTAATCTTTGTGAACTATTATTCTTTATTTTCATATTTACGTGATAATCACTTCAAAGAGTTTAGGAAAATGTGCAGAGCTTAGCAGTTTTTGCATGTTTGTCCAGTTACAGCCTACAGATGGATCAAAATCCATTTTGTTTAATTATCTTGAAAACCACAAAACTTGCTGGAAAAAAATATTAAATTCTTCTCTATAGCTCCTGCTTTAGTAAATATTTAATGAGTTACACATGAATTATGTACATCTTTAAGTATGCATTATTTTTGTCCTACTGTAATTTAAATTGGACTTTGTTGACAAATTTCAGTAGAACTCCCCAGAATAAAATTTAATGAAAATCCAATAAGCATATGGATGCACCAAAAATAAAATGGTGTAGCTATCACATTGTTTCATCTTCTGTCTTTATGCCAAGAAGAATAAATATTGCTCTGCCTGCATTAATTTCTTTAAACCTTAGTGCTATATAGCAATATACATAATTGTAAGTTAGGAGATGGACTTGAAGATTTCAATCATCTTCAGATATAACATGTATCTGTTATACTGAGAATTTTTTAAAGAATTTTATAAATTCTTGTTATACCAAGGTTGCACTGTATCTAAACTTTAAGTAATGGAAAATGAACATACAGAATTTGTAAGAGACAGTAACTGAAATTTTACCAGTTTTGGTGCTGTCATGGCAAGCTCAGGGGGAACATGTCCAGTTCTGAGACGCGTGATAAGCTTGCAGCGCTCCATGTCTGTACTGAAAGGTTGCAGCAGCTCAAACAAGATGATGCCCAGGCTGTACATGTCACTCTAAAAGTTCACAGAGCAGAAAAGGATAAAATACACTCCTCAGCAATCTGACTGCACATTAAACATTTTTGTGCACATGTTAAAAAATAAGCATAAACAGCAATGATCAAGCTCGATAAAAACATATCTGACTGTTACTACATTCTAAGATATTCTAAATCTAAGATATTAGAGAGATGTAAAAAGATTATACGAAGTGGAAATAAAATTACTACAGTGTATTAAGAATCAAGGGAGGATACAGAACACTGAAAGAAAATTTACATAAAACAACTGACTGAATATTTGATTCATTATAATCTAAAAAATTCAGACACAAAAGCTAAGGGAATGGGTGTACAAGGCAAATACTGCCAGCAACTGAAAATAGTTATATATCGTAACATGACTGAACAAGTATCCAAAATTAAACAGCATGGATGTAGAATATCTGATCAGCTAAATGAAGGTAAAGGAGAATAACTGCAAGTACACAGCTAATTAAATGGAATACCAGAGAAAAATTTCAAAAACGAAATGAGGAAATGCATTTCATTATAACTACATAATAAAAAAGCTAAGCCAAGTTTATGTTCTGAAGTGACATTTGGGGTATGACGAAGTGTGAGAAATAAAACATCATACACTGGACTTATGAAATTTCTTAGATAACTGTTAGAGTATCTTCAATGTAAAAGAAGGAAATAACATACATTTACTGGAAATTGAGAATATCATGTAAACAGCAAAGAATTATCAACCTAATGGAGAAAAACAGGTGAACAGGATGGAAAAAAGTAGCTACTAAAACTGGTCAGAATTACTGGGTTTTTCTACTTCACTGATTGTCTGGTAATCTAGAAACTAGAAAACATAACATTTTGGAAACAGGATGTGTTTCTGTCCTCAGGTGAGGAGGGGAGACACCTGTTCAGTTGGGTCATATAGCACTAACCTCAATCTAGTTTCTAGAATACTGGATGACAGACAAAGCCCAAAAAAACCCAGTAATTCTGAGTATTACACACTATTGTGAGAACCCCTTAGAATCTACTAAAATTAGAATACTTATATATGAACTTACAGGAGGGAGTGATGTAGCAATATTACTCGTAGTTTTAAGTATTTCTGAACATCAGAACAGGATTGTAGCACCTGATCTTTGAACTAAAAAATGAAGACGAAACTTAAGAAGAGTCTGTCATAAGCTGACCAATCCTGGCAGAAATAACAATGGATCATGATAACGACTACACACAAGGCAGCAGTCTAGAATCTAGCAATTGAGTGGTGTAGGTTTTCACTGAAGGCAAAAATTCAAATTGCTTAAGTTTCAATATTGACCTGTACCCAAAGTGTCAACCTTTGATGATTCTGGTCATATTATGAGGGATGGAACTTTAATAGTGGCAACACTGCTGTAGAGACGCCATGCAACGGAACCAAATAATGTCGTTTATACCACATGTTAGTTACATACCTACCTTACCTCAGAGCAAATGGACTCTCCCTTCCCACATCACGCGCATGTGCAGTGACGAGAATAGAGCCTCATGTTAGCTGGCAGTCTAATGTAGCGTTTTCACGTTTTCAAAACAGGAACAACGGGGTTGGATAAAGACTGAATGTGCCAGAGGCTGTACAGCACGACAGTGTCATCAAGATCTTCAAGAGGCTTGCAGGGAATCTGCACTGCCTTACAGAACAGTGGCAAGGTGGGTAAAAGCCTTCAACGAGGGACAGCAAAGTGTGGCAGACATGCATCAGCTAGGTCGTCCTAGTGTCAGTGAAGAAGTGTATGCTCTTTCCGCATTACTGGAGAGTGGTCAATGTCATACAATTCATGAGCTGGCCCAAGACAGGATTAGCACATACGACTGTGCTTCACATTATTAAGGAAAGCCTGGGCATGAGAAAAACTGCATCACAATGGGTTCCGCATGATTTGATGGAAACGCAGAAATGGCAAGCTGTAGTTGATTTGTTCGATTGATGGGGCTGGGAAGTGCTGTACCATCCACCATACTCCCCGGACTTAAGTCCTTGTGACTTTGACTTGATTCCTAAGATGAAGGAACCACTTTGTAGCATTCGCTTCAGAACTGTTCCAGAGATTCTTCAGGCAGTAGACTGCTCCATTTGAACTACCAACACAACAGGCACTGCTAAAGGTATCCTACGACTTCCACATCGCTGGCAACAGGTTGTACACAATGCTGGTGACTACACTGAAGAACAGTAAAACTTCTAAACATGCATCTCTTTTGTATCACTTGTAAATAAATAGTTGCCACTATTAAAGTTCAAACCCTCATATAATGATTGCGCCCAGAGTGGGTTATGTCCATTTCCTCATAGTGTCCAAATTGTGTGGAATTTTTCTCTTCCTACATGATGAAAACAAGGCACTTGCTCACTCACCTTTGAATCGCACTTCCCTTTTAGTTGCTCTGGGGCTGCATACAGCTTGGTCCCTATCTCTCCCTTGTGCTTGAGTGGGTGCTCAGATGAGGGCTGCATCATCAGTGTCACGTCATCTGAACAGTGCTGCAGACAACATGCAAGGCCAAAGTCTCCCACCTGAACCTGACTCAGATTATGGTTCACAAAGATATTGCTAGGCTGGAACAAACAGCACCCACAGCATTGTTAATCTAAGCAAATGAATGAAAGACCAGCTCATTTACTGACAGCAGAAAGCAGAACCTGAAATGTTCATTACCATTAATATCAAAGCTTGCCAATGGACATGACCATCAGCAAATAAAATCCAGTTGACATCCTCAGACCCTATTTCCCTAGGATTCATTTTAATGTTGTCCTCTCACCTACTTCTAGGTGTTCCAAGAGGCTCACTTCATAATATTTCTGACAGCTCTTTTCCTTGAATCCAAGCTACATATCTTGCCCATTGCAATATTTTCAATTTGAATCCACTAATAATAAAAGGTTTCCCTTGTGGAGGCATGTCAGAACATCTCAACCACAGCCCTTCAAGTTGCAGAAGGTGATGAAAAGGGAGTACAACTATGCCACCCTCTCATTGGGGGATGTAGAGACCAGGTGCTCCAGGTTGGAATTGGACACAAGGATGATGACTTTGTTCTGTAAAAAAATTGTTGCAAAATACAGAGAAGTGAAAATTGGATCAATTCTCATAGAAGCTTCTAAGGAAGGCTAGGACTATAAAAGGGCTGTTTTACCAATGATGATGAATAATAAGAGGCAAATTGCATGATGTGACATACAATGCAAGGACTGAATATAGCCTGACCTCTGCCTTTATACACAGCTTCCAGAATCTCTGCAGTGACTGAAAACATTGCTGGGAATCATACATGAAAGTCCTTTTTACAATTCCATTACACTGTTCTGTATGTGTTCAAAGTGGTTCAAAATGAGATCCTTAGAAGAAAATAAATGAAAGTTACATGGGACCAAGTCAGGTGATTATAGTTGATGTTTCTGGTTTGTGCTAGAAGTCTCAAGCCTCATTATACGTGGGGCAATCCAAAAGTTCCCGAAATATATTAATAAAAACTATTACATCTTAACTAGATCTTATTCTGCACCATCACCTTTAAAGTAGTCCCCTTGGGAGCGCATACACCGATCCCAGTGTTTCTGCCACTTTTCAAATGTATCCTGGAAGTCTTTCTTTGTTAGGGTGTTTAGTACTGTCTGCGTTTCCGCTTCAATATCCTCAACTGTATCAAATCTTCGCCCCTTCAACTTGATTTTCATCTTGGGGAAGAGAAAGAAGTCGCATGGAGCTAAGTACGGTGGGTGTCTGGCGAGTACGGTGGGTGGGGAACAACTGCCATCTTGTTTTTAGCCAAAAATTCCTGCATAATGTAAGCCGTATGCGGTCGTGTGTTGTCATGGTGGAGTATCCAGTTCTTCGGGCGCCACTTCTCTGGACGTTTTCTCCTCATGTTCTCCCTCAAACGCCTTAGAACATCGAGATAGAACTCTTTATTGACTGTCTGACCAGGAGTGACGAACTCCTTATGAATAAGCCCGTCAATATAAAAAAAACAGATCAACATGGACTTAATGTTGCTCTTGACTTGTCGAGCTTTTTTTGGCCGAGGTGAAGAAGGGCTCTTCCATTGTGACGATTGCTGCTTGCTTTCAGGGTCATAGCCATAAACCCAACTTTAGTCACCAGTGACAACCCTTGAAAGAAAGTTTGGATCCTCTTGAAGCTGTTGCTGAAGTTCCCTGCAGACTTCCAAGTGATGCTGCTTCTGTTCATTTTGCAGCAGTTGTGGCACAAACTTCACCGCAATCCTCCTCATGTTCAGTTCCTCTGACAAAATTCGTTGACATGTACCATAACTTAGTCCCAAGGTGTTAGAGGTCTTGGAGGGTCAGTCTACGATCTTGCAGAATCATATCCCTAACTTTCGCGACATTTTCTGGTGTTTTGCCAGTTGACGGCCATCCCGAACGATCGTCATCATCAGTCAATGTTCAGCCATTTTTAAAATGCTTATACCAGTTGTAAGTTTGTGTCTGGCCTAAACTGTTTTCACCAAAAGCTTGCTTCAATATTTGGTGCGTTTCTGCAGTGGTTTTCCCAAGTTTGAAACAAAACTTTATACAGACACACTGCTCTCTCAGGTCAGCCATCGCAAAACCGCAAACTCACGGAAACACGACAATGGAAATACGTTCAGCAACAATAAACCCAAATACTGAACTCGACGCCGCTTGCCACACTGATTCAAGAAGGATGTGTGTGGAGACACGCAGTGGTATTTCGATGTACTCATAACCATTCACACACAAAATTCAAATTTTGGAAACTTTTGGATTGCCCCACGTATTAAAACTGTTTTCCACAAAGTAAGGTTCAAACAACAGTCTTATTGACATATCTGAGAAGATTTCTGTTCACATCCTTTGCCTGATGATCAGATTTCTCATTACCATCTAAGCAGATTTTCTTTATGTTCACAGGTCTTTGGTTAAAATCAATCTCACAGTTTCTCTATTCAGGTTCCATTCTTATATTTTTCATTTCAATAATGTTTTCAACATCTGAATGCAGAACCCAAAGATCCAGTAACCCTTTCATCCCAAATTAAATGGCAACACTTAATTATGAAGCTGCCAAAATTGTTACAACTCATATTCTTGACTGCATGAAAATCAGAAATTGGCTGTATCTCCTGAACTATTTGGTTCACAGATATTATAAAAACGTCTAAAGGCACATATCCAGTATAGAAATACCATACCTGTCTTGTTCAGAGTGCACATATTGAAATTAGGGTTCACTACAAAATAAAATATAATTTTCTGTTATCTTTGTCAGTATGAGAACGAACATTAAATTTCCTGTTAAACTTGCCAAGAGTGGAAGCGAAATCATACAGATGTTAGTGCAAGTTTACGGGGATAATGTTATGAAGAAAACAGGACTTTATAAGTGGGTGACGTTTTTCTAACAGAAGAAGTGTCACAGACAAAGAGAGATAAGGATGGCCAACAATGAGCAGAACTGAAGAAAATATTGCAAAAGTTCATCAAATTGTGCGTGAAAATCATTGGCTGACTGTGAGAAGCATAGCAGAGGAAGCAAACATTGACAGAAACAGTTAGGACAATCTTAACTGAAGATCTTGAAATGTGGAAGGCGTGTGCAAAAATGGTCCCAAAGGAGCTCACTGAAGAAATGCAAAGAAGACTTTTTAGCTAGTAAACAAATAACTGTGCTGGAACACTCTCCATATTCACCAGATCTAGCCCCCAATGACTTTCTTCTATTCCTGAAGATAAAGGAAACATTGAAAGGAAGGCAATCTGATGTCACTGATGCCATTAGGAGTAATACGATGGCAGCTCTGAAGGCCAGTCCACAAAATCAGTTCCAAAATTGTTTTAAACGGTGGGCTAGGCACTGGCATGGGTGTATAACTTCCCAAGAGGAGTACTTTAAAGGCGACCACAGTGATATTCAGCAATGAGGTATGTAGTACTTTTACCACAATGAGTTTGCAAACTTTACTGTCGGACCACATATGTTCAAAATCTTGTTTTGGTGTGCCGTACCTCAAAACATAACACAAAAGCAAGCAGTTCCACTGCCCACAGAAGTACTGGGTTCCTTCTGCTTTGTTTTTGGAAGATCAGACCCTTCAGTGCCCTATTATTTCCTTAAGCAGACCAGTGTACTGAGTGTTTCATTTCAAGTATACTCAAATGGGTGGCTGCAGCAGTTAACTGTCAATGTCACTCTCTTGGCTGTCCTCTGATAAAACGTGGCTTCCGTAAAGTTTTTTCCAGAGTCCCTGTCATAACACTCATCTTCTATTATGCCAGATTCTCTTAACTTACCAATATGAAAACATTTAAATGGGTCTGCAGTGATTAGCTGCTGTCCAAGAATTCAAAAGAAAATATGGGTGAAGTCACACTATTCTCTGTATGGACGTTCACACTTTGGTATCTAATTATACTGAACTGAGATAAAAGTTATCCCTGTAACAGGCCATGAAGGCCCATAGGGTTGTGAGACATCAAGGCTCCCACTTTTGCTCTAGAAAATTGGTGCAGATGGCAGTAAGGTTGTCAGTGTTACGTGCCAGTCACCCTTCAACACCCAGGAAGATTCCTGGTACTCATTTCTGTTACAAGGTTGAGTCAACCCCAGGGCCATGGTGTGGCTGGAAGAATTAGGTAGATTGAAAAAATCCACGTCAACGGGGCTCAAACCTGCGACTTTCCAGCTTGTAGCATAGTGCCTCAGACGACTACACTACCTCGTGCACTAAACTGAACTGAGAACAATGACATAAAACTGAAGTGAAATGAAATCCTATTGTGACATGTTGCGCAACGGAGAACCCCCCCCCACCAGCAGTGACGCGGCGGGTGAGTCAGCGCTCCCCTCCCCCCTCCGCCCGGTAACATAACGCGCAACGCGCGGTGACGCAACAGGACGACGTGGAACCGCTTCCTACTGTGACGCGACACGCAACGACACTGTTGACGCGGGCAACAGGTAACAGCGAACGGAATATAAGCCGGCTGAGCAGTAAGCGTGAGTTAGTTGTAATGTGGCCATCGCCGAGTTCAGTTGGAATATAGCAGCCGTCACGGAAAGAAGAACCGGACGTGTCTGTAACTGTGTAATTGGGAGTGTGTGAGACAGAGAGACTTGTATAGCTCCTGTACTGTGAATACGTGTAGCCTACTGAAGATAGAGTGAACTGATTTGCGAATAGGGTTATAAATCATGAAACCCTGCAACAGTGTAAACAGATTAATGCGATTAGGGTTATAAAGTGTGAAACCCCGCAACTGTGTAATAATTAATTGTAGCCGTTACTTGTATGTTGTTGAATAAACCAGTTAACAATCCGAACGGCGTCTTCAGTAACCCAACGCGTTACTCTATAATGAGTGACACCAGTGTAAGTTGCCCAACAGCTGAGGTTTCGTAAGTCACTAGGATCAGAAGCTTGGAGTTTCTAAATAACATCTCATGGGAAGTAGGGCAATAAAATCTTGACCAGAACGTACGTGAGATAAACAATGCTCCAGTGTTAAAATCAGTATTTATAGCAGACCAGATTGAAGATGGTTTAAAAAACAAGATTGTGCAACAAGAT